AGAGTGCACTGGCGCAATCTCGGCTCACTGCAACCTCTGCCTCCTGGGTTCAAGCGATTCTCCTACCTCAGCCTCCCAAGTAGCTGGGACTACAGGCATGTGCCACCACGCCTGGCTAGGTGTATATTCTTATGATAAATTCTATTAAATCCTTTCAGGAACAATGATATAAAGAGTAAATAACTACACGCAATTTTATTTTGTCTAAGTGTCCCCTTTGCTATGTTTTGCTTTTGCAAATAGGATCTCCAGGAGCCGTATCAATGATGCTTTCCGTCTGAATGACAACAGCCTGGAGTTTCTGGGGATACAGACAACACTTGCACCTCCTTACCAGTCCCCCGTTACCACATGGCTAATTGTTTTTGGAGTTGTGATGGGAGTGATAGTGGCTGGCATTGTCGTCCTGATCTTCACTGGGATCAGAGATCGAAAGAAGTAGGTGGTCTTTCCTAGACTTAACTATCTGAAAATAGAAAGATTTAGAGAACAGTAACTGGAAAATTTTCAGTAAGTGGTAGATTGTATAGGCCAATTACTCAGTTGGACAATTTTGCACCTAAATACTCTGATGCATTCCCTAGAAATTTACTAGATGTCATCAGCAGTTCACCTTCCTAGTAAGCCCACACAGTAAGTATCTGGCCTGGGATTTATTAGCATGCCCTAGTAAACTCCATCCCAGCCACAGTGTCATTTCCCTCCTACAAAGAGGCACTGCAAACTCAGCAGGTATGGTTGGGCTCAGGGAATGGTTCTCACTGCTGAATCCTTTTCAGTCTAAAAGTGGGGACTAGATTGTTGGAGACTGGATTGCTGATGGGTTTGAACCGTGAAATTGTTCAAGAATGGGCTGTGAGATTTCTTTCAAACTGCTACTCTTGTTTTTTTTTTAATTTTTAATTTTTTTTTTTTTTTTTGAGACAGGGTCTTTTGCTCTGTCACCCAGGTTGGAGTACAGTGGTACAGTCATAGTTCACTGCGGCCTCGATCTCCCAGGCTCAAGTGATTGTCCCACCTCAGCTTCCTGAGTAGCTGGGACTACCAGGGTGCGCCACCACACCCAGCTAAGTTTTGTATTTTTTTGTGGAGACAAGGTTTTGTCATGTTGCCCAAGCTGTTCTTGAACTCCTGAGTTCAAGCAGTCCTCCTGCCTCGCTCTCCAGTGCTGGGATTACAGGCATGAGCCACCGTGCCCTGCCCAAACTGCTACTCTTTACTCAACTTTATTTCTCATGGGGTAGCTCAGACTCCATATCATTCTCTCAGTTCATGGTTAGGCATGCTCTAATTTGTTCCTGAACTGAATATCAAAGCTCATTGAGGATTTAAATTACTAGAGACCTGATTTCTAGTCTTGCTTTGCTACTAGATGTTTTTCTTCTGTCCTTAAGAAATTGACTCTTGCTGGGCTTATGAAATGAAGGTTAATATTTTATAGCACCTAACAAAACTCTATGCACACCTCAGGTTGTTTAAACATATTCTTGATTGAATCTCTATATGTGCTAGTCTATGTTGCTCAATTTTCTTCACTATAGAGATTTTTCGGTTACCCAAAATAGCTTCATCCAAAAAATTAGGCATTGAATGTGTAATACATTCATGTAGTTAAAATTAAAAAATACAAAGGTGAACATGAAGAGTCTTCCTTATCACCTTTTGCCTCCAAGTTCTCTTCCCAAAGCCAAACAAAATTATCAGTTCCTTGGAGATACACACACACACACACAGACACACACACACACACATATATATATATATATAGAGAGAGATATATATATATAGAGAGAGTGATATATATAGTCTTTTTTTCTTTTTTCTCGGATATATATATATATCTCCTTTTTAGTATATGAATATATACTTTTTTAGTGTATATATGTGTATATATGCATATGTATATCTTATTTTTTAGTATACGAATGTTAGCAGGCTATAAATAATGTTCTGCATATTTTGTTTTCCACTTAATGGTTTTTTAAAATTTTTATTTGTATAGGTGTGATCCACCACACCCAGCCCACTTAATGTGTTTTAGAGATCATTACACATTAGTTGCACAAAAATCTTCTCCTTTTTTCTGGCAGTATAATTTCCCACTTCATGAATGGATTGTAATTTTGTTAAACAGTCATCTATTGATGAACTTTTATGTTGTTTCCAAATATTTGTGTTTACTTAAAAAAGAGTTGTGATGGCTTCATATAGGTAATTTCCTGTGTGTGACAGTATACCCATAAGATGAATCCTAGCAGCGGGAAAGCTGCGGCAAAGCACACGTGCAATTGCTGATTTTGATAAATATTGCCACATTGCCCTCAATAGCGGCTGTACCAATTTATACTCACATCAACAGTTTATGAAACTTCCTGTTCCTCCCACCCAGCCTCCTTAACACAGAGTGCCCTCAAACTTTTTGATCTTCATCAATCCGATTGATTTTAACATAGGTATATTAAGGTAACCTTGCTCTATTTAACAGGAAAAATCAAGCAAGAAGTGAAGAAAATCCTTATGCCTCCATCGATATTAACAAAGGAGAAAATAATCCAGGATTCCAAAACACTGATGATGTTCAGACCTCCTTTTAGAAAAATCTATGTTTTTTCTCTTGAGGTGATTTTGTTGTAGGTAAATGTTAATTTCATGGTATCGAACATATGAGATGATAAATATATCATTAAATGTCAAAACTATGAATCTGTTCAGAAAAAAATTGTCCAAAGACAACATGGTCAAGGAGAGAGCATCTTCATTGACATTGCTTTCAGTATTTATTTCTGTCTCTGGATTTGACTTCTGTTCTGTTTCCTAATAAGGATTTTGTATTAGAGTGTATTAGGGAAAGTGTGTATTTGGTCTCACGGGCTGTTCAGGGATAATCTAAATGTAAATGTCTGTTGAATTTCTGAAGTTGAAAACAAGGATATATCATGGGAGCAAGTATTGGACCTTGTATGGAATATGGATGGATCACTTGTAAGGACAGTGCCTGGGAACTGGTACAGCTGCAAGGATTGAGAATGGCATGCACTAGTTCACTTTCATTTAATCCATTGTTAAGGATGACATACTTTCTTCACATTAACTTAATCCAAGTACTATGGTGATTTGCCTACAGTGATGTTTGGAATAGATCACGCTTTCTTCAAGGTGACAGGTCTAAAGAGAGAAGAATCCAGGGAACAGGTAGAGGACATTGCTTTTTCACTTCCAAGCTGCTTGATCAACATCTCCCTGATAACACAAAACTAACGCCAGGGGCCTCCGTGAACTCCCAGAGCATGCCTGATAGAAACTCATTTCCACTGTTCTCTAACTGTGGAGTGAATGGAAATTCCAACTGTATGTTCACCCTCTGAAGTGGGTATCCAGTCTCTTAAATCTTTTGTATTTGCCCACAGTGTTTGAGTAGTGCTGAGCACAAAGCAGACACTCAATAAATGCTAGATTTGCACACTCCTTATGCTTACTTATGTGCTGGGGCTTCTTTACGTTTTTGTCTGCTTTTCACTTCTGTGAACAAAGTTATTATCTGAGTGTCTGGGGCTCCTGACCTCCCAAATGTCTCGTGATATATTGCAAATTCTCAGATTGCTTTATGGTACAAAGCAATTGTAAAATTCGTCCCAAAAAAGTTGTGTACAGAGTGTATACACCACCAGGTTGGGAACCAAACCTGATGCTGCTTTTATATTTCTCACAGTCACTATCCCAGTGTGAGCACAGAATTTCTTAGATACCTGAAGATTGATTAAAACTAGATTAAATAGATTAACATATCGAAACTCTACCCATTAACTCATTCTGTGTGGTGACCAGCATAGTGTTAGAATGACTTTGCACTTCATAAATTCTCTGTGGTAATGGTGGATCAATTAGCCAAGTCAGGGGAAGATGACTTTCATAATCTATAAAATAGCCTCAAAATAAGGATCATGTGAGGCTCTTTGATGTCTTAATTATCTGATGCCCAGGTAGCAGAGAGAGAGTTCTTTGTTATTTTGTGAGATACAATCAACATTTCACCTCGCCATCTGCATCATCCTGCCATTCATTGGGCCCACAGCATAATTTACTCCTTGGCAAAACAACCATTTCATAGACAGTTTTTTTTCTATTATCTTGCCTGTGTCCCATCTTCTCTAATATATCATGAAAATCTTCTGTCAAGCTACTGCTATCTAAACATCCTTTGTAGTTGCCACATGGTCTTTATGAAGTTCTCAGTCCTTGTCTTGATTCAACACAGTGCAAGAATAATTTCTGCAGGAACCACTTTCATCATCTAACACCTTCAAAAGAGCCTCCCCAGACATGGCAAAGGACCCATGTGCATGTCACATAGTGTCCAACTGTAACACAGAAAGAAAAACCTGCTTATTTCCATAACTTAATTTTGGGGTTTTCTCTAGAACAGTCCTCACTGTGCCCACCAGGTAAAGCTTGTGGGCCTTTTCCTGTGTAGGAGCATCCTCTGAAAGGATGGAGACTCTACAAAGAGGGACCGGTGCCTGGGCCTAGGATGGAAGTTGGCAAACAATGACCCATGGGCCAAATCCTGCCCACCACCTTTTTTGTGTTGTTTTGTTTTGTTCTGTTTTGAGACGGAGTCTCGCTCTGTCACCCAGGCTGGAGTGCAGTGGCGCAATCTCGGCTCACTGCAACCTCTGCCTCCCTGGTTCAAGTGATTCTCCTGCCTTAGCCTCCCGAGTAGCTGGGACTACAGGTGTGTGCCACCACACCCAGCTAATTTTTTGTAGTTTTTAGTAGAGATGGGGTTTCACCATTTGGCCAGGCTGGTCTCGAACTCCTGACCAAGGTGATCTGCCTGACTCGGCCTCCCAAAGTGCTGAGATTACAGGCGTGAGTCATTGCACCCGGCCACCCCACCACCTGTTTTTGTCTGGTCTGTGAACTAAGAGTGATTTTTACATTTTTAAGTGGTTGAAAAAAATTAAGATTTCATGATAAATGAAAATGATATGAAATTCAAATTTCAGTGTCCATAAATAAAGTTTTATTGGAACCCAGCCACACCCATTCATTTTCATATTGTCTAGAGCTGCTTTCATGCTACGGAGCAGAACTGAGTAGTTGAAGTAGAGACGGCATGGCCCACAAAGCCCTTTACAAACAAACTTCGCCAAACCCTGGGCTATAAGGAAGCAAGGATTAAATGAAACTGCAAATGCAAAAGGGCCATTGTGGAGCTCACAGACCAGAGAAACATAGTGATCAGGCCAGAAAGGGCAGGTGCTAGCTTCCTCTTCTCTGGTGTCTCTCAGTGAACTATTCTTCCTCATTTAAGACCCTCCTCCCTCCACATTTAGGTAAAGATGGGGCCGTAAGTCCAATCTCTCTTCCTCATAAACCCACTCCCAAGATAGAATAAAAACTGAGAAACTCAACTTGCTAAATCTACTGTGTTGGAATCTTAATGAACTCAAGTAGATGTGAGGTGAGTTTTGCCAGACCCTCTTGACTTTGTGTTTGACTTCTGGCAGGTCAGAAAATGCTCAGCAAGACTGGGGAGCATCTGTTGGATTTTACCTAGCAAGTGACTTATCGGAACTTGCTCTGCAGCCTGCCCTTTGGGAACGTTTCTTACCACATAGTCTTCCTTTTTCTTCACTGCTAAAAGAGCGTAGGCAGACTCTTGGTTTAAGATAACAATAATAAATTCTGGATATCACCACTAAACACAGTTATACAGCATTAAAAAAATCATTATGCATGTTTGAAATACTATGAATAGTGTTCTTTTACTTGGCTCCTCCTAGCATCACTGGACTTGTTTTCTGATAAACCTCTAGTGGTACCTTAAATTGTTGCCTGACTTGATTTTTGCAGCTAGGCTTCTAAGCAGGGCTTTGGCCTCTTTTCATAGTAAACAATTCTGTATTGTTTGAATTTTTGCTACAAGCGTGTATTTTGTTATAAAGAGGATTATTTTTAAAAGGTAAATATACAAAAATAAGAAGAAGAGAGGAAAAAAATCTTCAAGAGGGAGACCAGAAAGAGCCAGCTTGTGCATGAGCTCATCCTCTGAGTGGGGAAACAGTCCGTGGTGCAGGAAAGGCTGGCACCCCCATCGGACTGTGGGTCCATTGACACAGAGGGTTTGGGTCACCTGGTCTTTCTTTTCTCTTGGGTAGGAAAGAACCTAGCATACAGTCAACACTACAAAAAAAAAAAAAACTACAAAAATAAAATATACAAATGCCCTAGTGATTATTTTGAGTTACATTTCATTATAAATTGAGATTTGTGTGCCTCTGTAAAAAATAGAAGACTTAACGAGTGTCAATTCTCTGTTGAAATGAAGGAATTATTAATGAAATGTCAAGAAACAAATAAGCAAGAGGGAACATTGGAACTAGCTGGTGGCTGAAGGACAGAGTGGGATGAGAGAGGATATAAATGTCTCTGAGAGATTATTGACCGATCTCTGGAAAATAGCAGCAGGGTATATATAATTGGGGGGTCTCTTCATTGGAATGGTGCCCTCTACAAAATCAGTCTCTCCCTTCTTGACATTATAGAAAAGACAAGGGAAGACTCGGAAAGAGGTTCAAACCAGTGAGTTCAGTAGCAGGCCGTGAAGAAGGGCATCCCCAGGTGCAGTTTTAAAGCTGAAATACTATTTAGTAATAGGCATGAGAAGCTAAAACAGTACTTCTGTATTTTTATGTTAAGATAGCAGACTGATAACTTCAGTTTTCAAACTAGCCAGAAGCCCCAGATCCCCAAACTCAAGGATTTAAAATGATTAGAAAGCAACAATGTAATTAATTCTAGAAATCATACCTTAGCATCTTAAAAAACTTGCTTTATGTGCAACATATTTAATATATTATTTGCTATTATTTAACTTTAGTTTTATACATGACGTTAAGAGTCATTGTACTAATCTGGATATTAGGAGAGAATTGTGCCATTTGGATTGAATAATGGACCACCTAATGATACCCCACCATGTAATGTGGTCCCCTAGGGCAGTTCAGAACAACTGCTTCAGTAACATCTGGGAGTTTGCTAAAAATACAAATTCACAGGCTGCACTCAGACCTCCTCCGCCAGGTTTTATGGAGGTAGTTTCTAGGAATCTTTTCATAAACTCTGCATTTGATTATCATCATGCCTACTGAAGTTTGAAAACATTGAAATATGAAGACAAATGTCCACATTTCTGTACTTGGTAGTATATTTAATTGTTGTGACAGTGACAATATAAAGAAAAGAATGACTATCCAATAAGTAATTTTTCAATTCTGCCCAGTCTTTACACATGAACGCAGTCTCTATATTGCAATCTGAAAATGTGCTTCTGCTATAGGCTGGAAAGTGTTATATCAGGAGCAGCATAAACAAAATTACTGATTTGATCTAAATTTCAAGGAAATCTTTTGTTTCCTGCCTTGTTCATTTCTAAATAATATACAATACAGAGAACACTATTAAAAACTAGCTAAATTACATTATGCCTTGCTACTTTCCTTAAAATGAATGAAAATGCTGGCCAACATCTATATTCATTCTTATCAGCACTCCTAGTTTCTTCTTCAAGGCTTGTCTTTTTCCCGAAGTGGTTCAATGGAAGACAGGAGTTGCTGAAATGTGGGACGCTTTTCTGGAAGCTAAACAAAAACAACAAAAAAACCAGTGTTTTAGATGATGAAAGTTATGATCAAAGATAAAATATATAAAATATTTACACCTAAGTCCTAAAGCTAGCAACTTTTAAAATGTGGAAACACAATAGACATTTCAATTGAGGTCAGAAATAAGGCAAGGACGCTCACTGTAATAACCACTCTTAACGTTATGTTGAAGGTGTTAACCAATGCAAAACAATTAGAGCCCCGATAATTGGAAAAGAAAAAGTCTCTTTATTTGCAAGCATTTTAGTGTATACCTGGAAAACCTGAGAGTATCAATGTGAGAATCAACTTAAAGAATAAAGGAATTCACTAGGACAGCAGGATATAAAATTAACATACAAAATCAATAGCCTTCACATATACCTACAGTAACCACTTAGAAGTTATCATGGAAGAGAAAACCCCATTTATAAAAACAACACCACCAAAATAAAACACTAAAAAGTCTCCCCCTCTAAAATGAGGACGACTTTAAAACACTGATGAAAAATGCAAATGTAGACTTGACTATATAAAAAAGCATCCCTGGCCAGGCACAGTGGCTCATGCCTGTAATCCCAGCACTTTGGGATGCTGAGGTGGGCGGATCACTTGAGGCCAGGAGTTCGAGACCATCCTGACCAACATGGTGAAACCCTGTCTCTACTAAAAATACAAATATTAGCCAGCTGTGGTTGTGCACAACTGTAGACCAAGCTACTTGAGAGGCTGGGACATGAAAATCACTTAAGCCTGGAAGGTGGAGGTTGCAGTAAGCCTAGATCATACCACTTTACTCCAGCCTGAGTGATAGAGCAAGACTCTGTCTAAAAAAAAACCAACCAACCAAACAAACAAACAAAAACAAAAATAAAAACTTCCTTTGTCCTAGACTAGGACAAGTCAGTATCATAAAGATGTCAAATTTTCCAACTTAAAATACAAACTAAATACAATCTCCTCAAAAATATGAATGAGTTTGTTTCAAGCTAAACAAATTGATTCTTTATAGAATTAAAAAATATGTAAAAATGGCGAAGAAATTATAAATTAAGGTGAGCAATGAGGGCTGCTAGCCTACCTAGTATTCAGACATATTATAAAGTCTCTACAGAATCAGAGCAGCGTGGTGCTAGCACATGAACAAAGAGACCAGAGAACGGAAGAGGAAGTCTCCAAATAGATTCAAGTACATATGGAAATTTAGTATAATATTAGGGTGGCATTTCACCACCATTAAGGTGGTATCTCATTCCTGGTGATAAGATGGTCTTTTAATAAATAGGGCTGACAACAACAGAATAGTCACATAAGATTACGTATTTGGAGCCATATTTGATACCATATACCATAACAAACACAAACTATATCGGAAGTATAAATGGAAAATAATGCAATCATAAAAGTACTAGAGGAAAATCCGGGTAAAAGTCATTATAATTTGGGCATGAGAAAGCCTATCTATGACAATTTCCAGAAGCAATAAAAACAAATATTGATATATTCAGCTATATTAAGAAAAACTTCTGCATGGTCAAACAAAACAAAACAAAACAAAACAAAAAAACAAAACCCACCCACCCTCAATCAAATAAAGCTGATAACTTAAAGTATTACTCTCCCTAATTTGTAAAGAGATCTTTAAAACCTGATAGAAAAAAGAAAAAAGACATGGTCTACTAGAAAGTTCCTATTAATCACAACACTTACATCTTCCTCTCAGGACAGTCTTCAGATAACCACAGGGGAAAGAACATTATTCAAAAGTGTGGTAGAAACCTCAGTTAACAGGCAGAAGATGAAACCTTAAGAGCATAGAATACATCTACAAATTGGGGAAGAGGGTGACCCTGGCTGGCTCTTTATAAAGGACCACAGTTTCTCCCTATGGACCAATACTCTACAAAATCAACTGTGCCTTAATTATTATTTATTTTAAATTACATTTTTATAGAGCTAGGTAGTACCTGATGCAGAAAAGCAATCACATAAGGAAGCATTTATTTGAAGTTTAACATGAAATCATACAAATAAAATGTGTATAAACAAATCCACATTGAGTCATAACACAGATAGCAAAGGACAAAGTAAAAACAAAGAAAACTAATTGGCAGCTATATACAGTTGGACACAACTGTGTCTTGTACACTAGAAAGTCTTTTACAAAGTAATCATCTTAGATCAACAGAAGACCAATCTTCAATGTCGTCCTGCAAGATGGCTTACTTTAACATCTCATCCTATTTTCTCCAATGTTCTCCTTTAGTATGGCTGGTAATTGTTTTGGTGATTGCCACCCCCTCGAGATGCCTTGCCATAAGTGCTCTGTTGGCCACTGTAGTCTGCATATCCCTGTCCATATCCATGGTTCCCATAGTCAACATTTGGGGAAGAAAAAGGTGGGGAAATCTTATATACTGTTCCAAATGCCATAGGGTGGGAAATTACAGAGTGCTCATATTCCAGGCGATAATTTAAGGCTAAGCAAAAAATATTGTTATGTGATGCAATCAGCAACTCTTCCAAAGTGGGACTCTAGGCTCCAGTACAAGAGATTAGAAACTATTTAAGTTGTGTGTGACAATTTATTCTTAGCACCAAGCATACTGCCTGGTGCATAGGTGCTTTGTAAATACATATATACACACACACACAATATTAATAACAGACAAACAGAACTGTGTACCGGGCACTGTCCTAAGGACTTTACAAAGTTAATTCATTCAATCCACACAAAAATCCTATGAGGTAAGTATTACATTACAGGTAAGTATTACAGTACAGTGAAGCACAGAGATAATAGGAGGTTTGTACAAGGTCATATAACTAGTAAGTGATCAAGACAGGATTCAACCCAGGTATTCTGATGCCAGAACCCATAGGCTTAACCATTACACCAATTTGCCTTTTACTAGTGAATGAATGAATGCAGCATTAGGCCCTTTGTCATTGAGGAAGTACCATATAATGATTATGAACATGGGCTCTTAGATTAATGTTCTCAAAAGCCTCCTTTTATCATGTTACTGCTCAAAAGTCTTCAGTGGCTCCTCAATGCCTATAACAACCAAAACTCGCACTCGTCTCCTTGTTATTCACCTTGAAGAACCTGAACCAGACCTACTCTTCCAAACTTATCTCCAGCCCTTCCAACGATAGCACCAACCTATCATGCCATGCTCGTTCCTGCCGCCACACCTTTGCTTGTGCTGTTCTCACCTGGACACCCTTTTACAATGTCTCCACTCACATACTTAGGACATTTCGTAGAGATTTCCTGCTTCAGCTCAGGTACCAATGCATTCAAGAAGCTGCTTTATCTCAGGAAGCTGGTTTCTCTTTCCTCTGAGCTCTTCTTGTGTTAGATTGGTGCAAAAGTAATCACGTTTTTTGCCATTGAAAGTTATGGCAAAATCCTTGTCTTTCTAATTCTGGCACATAATTATAAACTGCTAGGTGTTTTCGGTCCCATTGTTGTGTGTGTGTGTGTGTGTGTGTGTGTGTGTGTGTATAAAGACTTTGAGTTCAGTAAGGGCGCATATGGAGCCTCATACTTCCTTAACAATCTCCATTAGTTCTATGAAGTTAGTGGATACTTTGCAAATTAATCCCCTGAAACTTCAGCTCCATGTCATCCCCATAAGATACCCTTATCTTCTACCTGAATGGAATGCTTTTATTCAGTGTTTGGGAGGCAGGGGAGACAAGACGGGATAGTGTCCATTATGTGTGCTCTACGTGTGGTTAGATGTTTTCTGCTACTCATGTTCTACTTGAGGAGCTCCACAGTGTTGCAGTTAAGAACAGGGACCCTGGCACTAGCCAGCCTACCTCTTACTAGCTATGTGACCTTGGGCAAGTCACTTAACCTTTCTGAGTCTTTGTTTACTCTTCTGTTAGTTTTAGCAATGATAATACTTACCTCAGTGTGTTTCCTGATGCATAAGTAAGTTAATATTTATAGTGTTCTTAGAACACTGCTGGATATAAGTTGTTCAGTACATTGTTTGGCACCTGCATGTTTTAGATTACAAACATTTTAGGGCAGGGGCTGAGAGCCATTTTCTCCTGCTCTGTGCCAGGTGCTTTCCCTCAAAAAAGCTTCCTCCCAGTGGTGATGCAGTAATCACCCTGGATGTGCCTGAGACCCCTTCCAGCCCACCCAGAGGATACACTTGCCTCGTGCCAGCAGCTGTACATGATCTGGTAGATGGTGTCCGATGCCAGGTGGGGCCGGTAGAGCCTGTGGCCCTGGGAGACCTTCAGAACCACCTGGGAGTTGTCATATAAGTCATAGGGCTGCTTCCCCAGGCTGAACACCTCCCACATCAGGATCCCTGCACCGCACCAAGAGGTGGCCCAGATAAAAAGGAAGAGAGCTGTCATCAGAAGGTACAGGGTTTGTGGAGTGAGTTTCACACAACAGGTCAGGAAGGCTATGGGTCAGAGCGAGGGATCCCTGGGAAATGAGTCCCAGCGAAATGAGCAGAGCTTGGAAGGTGAGCCCGTGCCATCGCTTCTGGAGCCTGGGGTTTCTTCCCCATGTTCCCTGATACCTGTACATCTGTGCTTGCTGGAAAATGAGTGAATGGCAAGGACAGCCACAGAGGAACCGCTTGGGGCCAAGACATAATTCTTGAGCTACTCCTGGGAAGTGGCTGAGATTTCACTCAGCCTCACACAGCCTCACTGCAACTACCTGTGTAGTGAGCCCCTGCCCCAACCCTTATGAATGAGTGGTTGATGTCCTCACCCTTCTGTCTCTCTGCTTTGGCAGCTGCATGCAACAATTTCATTGCACAATCAGATTACCTTTCAGTGGAAATTTCAAGAGAAAGTCATTGACAACATTCTCCTTTCTATTGCTGCAGTGGCTCCTAATCTTACATGGGTCGGGGCCCTTTTGGGAATCCGATGAAAGCCACTGGCCGCCTTTTGGAAAAGTGAATACACAGCATTTTTTGTGTTCAGTTTCAGAATGTTCACAGTCCCCCAAAACTCATCCAGGAAACTGCAGTCCCCAGGTTAAGAAATCTCGGTTCTGGTCATGGTGGTCAGTAGGGTGGCATTTGGGGTCAGTTAGACATGGCCTTTGAAGTTGACTTCTGTCACTTACAGGCAGGATAAGTTTCTCAACCCCTCTCAGCCTCAGGTTCTTTGTCTATAAAGTGGGGTATTTGCACCTCATGGACTTGCTGTGAGGATGAAATAGGATAAAACACGTAGGGCATTTAAAAGAGCACTGAGATGTTTCAAGTGCTCTCTAAATGGTGGCAATTGTGCTGTGCTGGCCAAGGTCAGAAAATTTCAACAATTAGCTACTTTCAAATATTTATAATAAAGCAACCTTACAAATTTTATGGCTGCTTTTTTCTTTAAAAACACACAATCTAAAACAACCATCCAAAAGAATGCAGTTTCCTCATAACTTTCTCTTTGAAAGGCTACACGCTTATTTCAAACTATCTGTGGGGTTCTTTTTTGGGAATTGCTATCAGAGGCCTTGATTCACTTTGGGTATCCTCACTGGGATATATGGTTTAAGAATGAATTTAGTGTTTATAAACAGCTGGAAAATATCTGGGGCCAACTTCTATGGCATACAGTAAATAATCAAGCTGGGTAATACTATTTTTTGGTCAAAAACAAGCTGTAATTATTAAATAAGGGCACTGATTTTTTGGCATCATTTATAATTGATGCATGATTATCAAAACAATTTTTTTTTTTAAAGACAGTCTCTTGCTGTGTCGCCAAGGCTGGAGTGCAGTGGCACAATCTCAGCTCATTGTAACCTCTGCCTCCCAGGTTTAAGTGATTCTCGTGACTCAGCCTCTCAAGTAGCTGGGGTTACAGGCATGCACCACCATGCCCGACTAATTTTTGTGTTTTTGGTAGAGACAAGTTTTTGCCTTGTTGGCTGGGCTGGTCTTGAACTCCTGGCCTCAAGTGATCCGCCCGCCTCAGCTTCTTGAAATGTTGGGATTACAGGCGTGAGCCACTGCACTCAGCCTCAAAACTAATTTTGACAACAAGGTACAAAAGTTAATCAGCACAACATGGCATCAAGTATTCACCAAAATGCTATCTTTGTGATTTTTTTTCTTTTTCTATGTGTATTTGATTATCTTTTTTCTTTTTCTTTTTTCTTTTTTTTTTTTTTTAACAACGAACAATGCCACTTTTACAAAGGGATTAGTTTTAAAAATTGTGTCATATAGAGAAATAAATGACTAAATTTCCCCCTTTTCAAAGGCAATCTTGTAGGTGACAAGCAGTAAATCAAATTACACTTATGAACTAAGGCATGAAATAAGTCTCAGTCACATTTGGATTACTTCTCCTGGGTCCATCCGACAGTGATTGAAAATAGCCTTGATATTCTCACAACATGGAAAAAATATCAGAAAATGTAGTCACAATTTAAGAATTGTTTCCCTTTTCTAATGACCTTTACTAAATTTTAATATAGATATTTTAGTAAAGTAAGAGTCAGCAAACTTACCCTATAAAGGGCCACATAGCATTTTAGACCTTTTGGGACATGAAGTATCTGTGGCAAGTACTCTACTCTGCTGTTGTAGCATAAAATGAGCCATAAACAATACATAAATGAATGGGCATGACTGTGTTCCAGTAAAACTTTATTTACAAAAACCAACTGACCTGGTCCTGGGCTGTGGTTTGCCAATCCCAATCTAAAATATAAATTTTAACAGAGAGGAGACTGCTTGAAACTAGGCACGAATCAAGGAAAGTACCAAGTCATGTGTGGTATTTACACTAAGAATTGGTCAGTGCAAAAGGGAATGGCTATCACATTATTTTCATGCAGAAAATAGATGTCTTTTCAACTTTTTGGGCTTAGCAACAACTCAGATTTAGCTTTCAATGACTCCTTTTAAAAAACTATTTGAAATCTTCACTGGAAAAACTTTCATCCCCTTTGATGTTTCTAAAGACAGGGTCTTAACTGTGTTGCCCCGGCTGGACTTGAACTTCTGGGCTCAAACAATCCTTCCACCTCAACCTCTGAGTAGATTTATCCCCTTTGATTTTATGAAAAAGTGCTAGCAGGATGTAAATTACAAAATGTGTAGAAGACATCCTAATACCAAACCCAAGAAAATAAATCACCTTCTTCAACCGCTTGCTTGTCTCAGGGTATATGTGTAACTTTTTAAGTGTTCAAGGGCCCTTTTAAAATGAACGTTGCTACTCTTGTGGTTTCCTGTTGTGGAAGTCAGTTTACGAAACAGGACCAGGTCGTATGTGGCCATATCCTTACCAAATGCCCATACGTCTGACTTGCTGCTGTATTTGAAGTAATGAAACACCTCTGGAGCTGACCACTTGACTGGAAACTTTGTTCCAACTGAACTGACATACTGGTCATCAAGAACATACCTGCGAGGGAAAACACATCAACACAGACCTTAAGCCGTGGTGGTACAGGCTGATGAAGGACACAGAAGCCACCCAGAGTCCCAGTCGATTGCCTCAGTTTTCTGGAACTTTTGCTTCCTTTCAATGTGTGGGCTTAGCTGGAGGCTGCTTATGGTTTGTCAGCATTTAAAAAATAATATCTAACTGAATATAGCAAAACCTCAATGTAAAATGTTTGGTAAATATAGAAAAACACAGGAGAGGGTGTGGAGAAATAGGAACACTTTTACACTGTTGGTGGGGTTGTAAACTAGTTCAACCATTATGGAAAACAGTATGGCGATTCCTCAAGGATCTAGAACTAGAAGTACCCTATGACCCAGCCATCCCATTACTGGGGATATACCCAAAGGATTATAAATCATGCTGCTATAAAGACACATGCACACGTATGTTCATTGCAGCACTATTCACAATAGCAAAGACTTGGAATCAACCCAAATGTCCATCAGTGACAGACTGGATTAAGAAAATGTGGCACATATACACCATGGAATACTATGCAGTCATAAAAAAGGATGAGTTCGTGTCCTTTGTAGGGACATGGATGCAGCTGGAAACCATCATTCTCAGCAAACTATCGCAAGAACAGAAAACTAAACACCGCATGTTCTCACTCATAGGTGGGAACTGAACAATGAGATCACTTGGACTCGGGAAGGGGAACATCCCACACCGGGGCCTATTATGGGGAGGGGGCAGGGGGGAAGGATTGCATTGGGAGTTATACCTGATATAAATGACGAGTTGATGGGTGCTGACGAGTTGATGGGTGCAGCACACCAACATGGCACAAGTATACAAGTATACATATGTAACAAACCTGCACGTTATGCACATGTACCCTAGAACTTAAAGTATAATAATAAAAAATAAAAAAAATTAAAAAAATGGAAAAACACAAAAAAGCAAAAATAAAATTACTCAGAAACCCACCCTAAAGATAACCTGTAATTCTATCACTCCAAATACATTTTCGTTTGTACTTTCTGATCTTATTTCCCACATATATAAGTTGAATAAAATAGGGTTTCTGTTATATTGAGATTTGCTTTTATTTTTCCTTTAATGGTATATCATGAGCACTTCCCCATATGGTTACATTTCTACCACAGCATCATGTTTAATGGCTGAATACTGTTCCCTCTTATTATTTCTTCTTATGGAAGGAATTAAACATAATTTGTTTAACCAGGTAAATGGCTTCTCATCTTCTGCTGTTATGAATAATGATGAACAAAAATATCCTATGGAGATATCAAAACCAAAATACATGTTAGGATGTTCACTAAACTCTTTGTTTGTAATAATGATAAAATGAAAGCAACCCTAATGTTCCCAATGTTGAGGAGTAATTAAATATATTATGGCACACTAATACAATCGAATAGCATGTAGCCATTAAAAAATGAGATAACTCTTTACCAAAATAAAAAGGTGCTCATGGTATATGGTTATGCGCAAAAGCAAGTGTGTATAATGTGATTTCACTTTTTTGTGTGTGGGAACAAATAGTAAATGTGCATATTTGTGTATATGATTGGATACACTTAAGAATGAGGTCTGAAAGGATACCCACCAAACATCTGAGCAGTGGTTACTCCTAGCACTGAAAATGAGGGACGGATTCTGTCAGAGTAGGTAGCTAGGCAGACATGAGCAGGGCAGGAGAGGTCCCCCACCCCCAACCCAGGAATGTTAGGTGACCGTCAGGTAATAGGCAGTTGTTAACCGTCTCTCTAAAATAATAATTGGTCACAGCTGGTGCCAGGGAAAGGCAGTCTCCCAAGAGATAGAAAATACTTGAAGCTGATGATCAACAGCTTCCTGATATGATCTCAGGAGTTGGGCAACTGGGGTCAAACATGCGCACTAAGAGGCAAAATGATGGAGTTTAACTGGTGTATGACATTCCTCTAGGAATACCCAACTGGTAAAAGAAAAATGCCTCAAATGAGCATGAGCACAACCTAACTAAACATGCTGTGTGTGCGGCCCTTCCCAAGTGCTGGCAGGCTACTGCTCATGCAGACAGCTCACCCCAAGGGAAGAATCAGGGGAGAAAAGATGCAAATCTTGGAATTGTGCCAAGGTATGAAACCCTAAGTCAAGAACCAAACAGGGCAGTTGGATCTCTCAAGTTGCCCTCTTGGCCCTCTTCCAAGTGTACTTTACTTCCTTTCCTTCCTGCTCTAAAACTTTTTAATAAACTCTCACTCCTGCTCAAAAACTTGCCTCAGTCTCTCTCTCTGCCTTTTGCCCCTCAGACGAATCCTTTCCTTTGAGGAGGCAAGAATTTGAGTTGCTGCAGACCTTTATAGATTCACTGCTGCTAACAATTCTACTTTTTACTTTATACACTATTGCTATTTTTCTTATCATAAGTACATATTATTTATGGTATTGATAAAAGAGAACATCATATATTTGCCCACAAAAACCACAACAAAAACAAACACATAATGACTCTTAATTAGAGAAAATAAAACAACAGGAGTTATGGCAATTGGAATTTTGGATATAATTTACACACCAGATGTTTTAGAGATCTCACTGTAATTTAAAACAGCTGACTGGGAAGATCATTCTTCTAAATATTAACAATAATATTAATAAACTACACTTTCATAGGATTACATACAGGACATTCCATACTTTTCTCCCCAGAACCCCTCAGTTCCCCAGACATTACCAGACACCCAGACACTGCCCTGGCACTCCTGGTTTGGGGATGCCTGTGGCTTAAACCTTCCTTCAAGCTAGTAGGAGCAAATGAAGTCACAGGCATCTAATTGATGTGGCCACAGAGCTTCATAAGCAACAGGGCTGGTACATGGCTTCCAGGATCTCTTACTCAGAGCAAGATCTCTTGTCTCCCTTTTCCAAAGCTACAGAGAACGTGACAGCACGTTCCCTGGATGCTGACATAACAGCCAATATTCCTGCTTTTAGAGTAAAGTTCCCTGGACCTGGGAGCTTCTCCCTGCTTTAAGAACCTGTCGGCAGATTATTTTTTTCTTGCCCTTGAGAAAGCTACATGTTTGGTGTGTCAGTGTAGGGGACTCAGTGTATGGTGGTTGGAGTGATGGTAACTAGTACACAGCTAAAAGGACATCTTGCCAATATTTAGGGCTCCCAGAGGAATTACCGTATCTTCCATGGTATGTGCCACAGGGGTCAAAAAGCATCCCCTAACACTGAATTTTGGAGAAGACATTAAAAAAACAGATCCTCCTATGGCATTTTAGGGCCATGTTTGCTAAATATTAACCTGGCCTTGGTCAACTCTTCAGATCTCTTTTAAACTGCATTATTCACCTTCAGAATTACATGTTGAGTCAGCACAACTTTATAGTTGTATCTTGTCTCAATGTCAGGGATATCTACTTACCCTCCAGACTCAACTGTGGTCATTTTGAGGGCAGGGACTATCCTATTCATATCAGTATCTCCTGCAGGACTGAGGTATTCAGTAGACACTCAATAAATGTTGAATAGAAAGGTCAATGTGTATGTCTTCATTTTCTATGTAAAACTATGAAAATTTGCTCTGAGGCTTAAATAATATTAGGGTTCAGGATAAAGGTAAAAGAAGACTTTTAAAAAACTATCGTAATCAAAATAATTGTTCCAAATCATCAAGTGGTGGTAGAATGCCCATCAAGAGAATCTCAGAGTCTAGTTTTATGCCTTACTTTGTGATGCAGAAAATCTAATGATGTGACAACAAAAATTTTCCTAGTGTGAATGCTCTACCCATTTGAACATCAGGTTTTTTTTTTAAAATAACAAACAAAAAGAGCTAGCAGATACTTGATTGAGTTAAAAAAATTACAAATATTTATCCATTCATTTTTAATGGCTGAGCAGTACTCCAAAGTACTTGAGGGGCTGGATACCCCATTCTCCATGATGTGATTATTTCACATTGCATGCCTGTATCAAAACATCACATGCACCCCATAAATATATACACCTACTATGTATCCACAGAAATTAAACATAAAAAATTTAAAAGAAATTTTAAAAATCCAATAATGTGGCTGTAACATACTGTATTTAAATTTAGGATCTTTCATGGAATTTATTTAGAAGTTTAGAAAGTATCAGATTGTTGAAGGAACTAAAAGTGACTTCAGATAATTTCTGAAGAACAATCCCATCTTATAAGCGAAGGAATGAGGTGAAACATGTTTCACAGGTAGTTAGAGGCAGTATGGGAGGGACTTACTTAGGTTTCTAAGCCCCCAGTTCAGAGCACCTTCTATATCCCCACAAGGCCTTCAATTATGATGGTGTTCAAATGTGAATGGAAATCCCCCTTTCGCTGGTTGCCCTTTTGGAATTGGCTTACCTTGTCATTCCAAAGTCAGATACTTTCACACAGAGATCGCTGTCCACCAAGCAGTTACGGGCAGCCTTTAAAGGAAAAACAAAATCACCAAGTAGTGAACGTGACCAAGAATCTCCTGACATTTTCCTCCTCTTCAGTAGAATTCTCAGCAAAATCTAAGATTACCTAGCACAACCCCCAAATGCTCTAAAGTTGTCTTTTCTTTCCTTTGCAATTTTCAATTTTTCAAAATAAAAATGTTCTCCCATGAGTACTTTCAACCAAGCATCCATCCTTGTCAAACGACATGAAAAGGTATTACACTTTAAACACAGAACCTTAGCTTATCAAGGAAAGATGAGAAATTTCTAGAATCTGCCTTTCCACCACCAGATGCCATGCGTGCATTCACAGATGCTTTGAAGGCATAAATGCTGCACCTGTGACTTAAGGAACATACTGGTCTAGTGTGAATGCAGGTCTACTGTTGAGTGCAAGAACATCTCTAAAGATAAATCCCAGTGAATACCAAATACAGCACTCCCCACTCCCATTCTGATCCAAAGACACACAAATTCTGTTTCCTTGTTTTTTTGTTTTTTTTTTTTTCATTTTCAGTTATTGTATCAAATGCCTGCTTTAGCACTAAGCCCTTTCTGAAATAAAGGTCAACTTGGGTTTAATGGTTTTGAGAAACACTAAATTGGCCAAAGTCTTTCCTTTCCATCTGTTCTCCTTCATACCACAACACAGCTTAACAGCTTTTGTTATTCTCACTGTTCTTTCCATACTTCAAATATTTTTATATTGATTTTTGTAAAAATGTCATTTGCTTAAACAAGTCACAAGTGAGCAAAGCAAAAGGGATGGTGCCCTTCTTGCCTTCCCCACCAGTGACACCATCTCCAGAAGTGGGAGCCATGGACTGCTTTCCTTTCCTTGAAATTCCAATGGCTTTGCTTACCAAGTCCCGGTGTATGAATTGGTGGCTCTCCAAGAAGGCCATGCCTTCACAGACATCGTAGCACATTTCTAAGAGCTGGGAAGGTTCAAGTCCTTTTCCATGACTCCTCAGGTAATTCAGCAAGCAGCCATTGCTTATATATTCAGTCACTATGTATATGGGGTATTCCTTTGAACACACTCCATAGAATTTAACCAGCTTGGGATGGCTGAGTTTTCTGGAAATAACAGATTTTCAAAGTTCAATGCTCCACACTCCATTTTCTACATGTACTGAAAAAGAGTTGCTCTCAGATTTCTGTTTGTTTTAATTTCCCCCCTTTCACTTGAACAGAGAAAGAGAGGGAAAAGTTTAGGATCTTATATTGCAAGCACAATTATCTTTGGAGGCAAAAAAAAAAAATTCTGCCTCATATCAGACATTGGTGACTTCAGTAGCAATTTAGCAGTTTGTGAATGCTGTATTCAACTTTCCTACAAAGAATCAGGGTAGCAATGGTCTGTTGCACCGGAAACCCTGTTTAGTCTCATGGCATCTTGGGAACGTCCATGACTTATTTAGAGGAAGTCACACCCTAAGAACAATCATTTCCCTTTTATTAACTTTCACATCTAAACATTTCATTCTAAAAAAGTATATCAGAATACGAAGGATGTAGGTTAAATGAAGTCAGATGAGGTTTGATTTTTTAAAAATTATTTAACATTATTATTTTCATTATTTTTGATTAACAAATTTATAAAATACTAACCATACGATGTAGCACTTCTGGTAGGTCATGATGGTATGGACACTCAGCTTTTTTTTTTTAATGAGATAATTTTCATGTTATTATGGCAGATGGTTTTACCGTACCTCTTCCCAGCACCCTTTTTAAAATGAGAAAGTTAAGTAGAAGAAAACGGAGCGTAATGTGGCTATGGGCTATTTATTTAGTAATCAGATGTTCCCGATGGAAGTGTTTAATCTTGCAATTGAAGAGTTCTTTAGTGTTTCTTATTAATTTAAGTAATATCAACCTTAAATTTTGTACTAGCCTAGAGCTTAAAAGAAATCAAGCAAACCTTCTTGTAAAGTGTGATTCTCCTACCCTAATTCCCTTTCTCATGATGTCTTTTCTCACCTATCTTGATGTTTTTTTCCATTTGTGAGATGCACAGGTTAAGCTAAATTTCTAACAGAGTCTCTAGCAGTGTGCTGGCATATCACCTTCACTTCTCCAAACAGGCTCCCGAACTGCTGCTTTACTCTTTTTACTGTCTTCACGGTTAAGCATAAAGCTTTTGAAAGTACTTAGTAATTCCAATTACTCTTTATTCTCTGTTCTACATTGTATTTCAGTGAATTTGGACACATTTTTGGATTGGCATGTACTTCACTCTTAGAGTCTGAGCTGACTCTGAGTGATCCGTTGTATAAACAAACAGTGCATTCGTGTAGTTGTTAATGAGTTTGGAAGTATTAGCCTTGTTGGGGAGATTAGTCTTTTGTCTATAATATGAATTACAAATAATTTTGCCCAGTTTGTCATTTGTCTTTTAGTTTGCATAGGGTTTTTATTTTGTTTTCTTGCCACGTAGAAGTTGATTTTTAAATTTTATTTTTTTTTATTGTACTTTAAGTTCTGGGATACATGTGCAGAGCATGCAGGTTTGTTACATAGGTATACATGTGCCATGGTGGTTTGCTGCACCCATCAGCCCGTCATCTTCATTAGGTATTTCTCCTAATGTTATCTTTCCCCCAGGCCCCCACCCCCCAACAGGCCCCAGTGTGTGATGTCCGCCTCCCTGTGTCCATGTGTTCTCATTGTTCAACTCCCACTTATGAGTGAGAACATGCGATGTTTGGTTTTCTGTTCCTGTGTTAGTTTGCTGAGAATGGTGGTTTCCAGGTTCATCCATGTCCCTGCAAAGGACATGAACTCATTCTTTTTTAGGGCTGCATAGTATTCCATGGTGTATATGTGCCACATTTTCTTTATTCAGTCTAACATTGATGGACATTTGGGTTGGTTCCAAGTCTTTGCTATTGTGAATAGTACTGCAGTACACATACGTGTGCATGTGTCTTTATAGTAGAATGATTTATAATCCTTTGAATATATACCCAGTAATGGGATTGCTGGGTCAAATGATATTTCTGGTTCTAGATCCTTGAGGAATCACCACACTGTCTTCCACAATGGTTAAACTAATTTACACTCCCACCAACAGTGTAAAAGCGTTCCTATTTCTTCACATCCTCTCCAGCATCTGTTGTTTCCTGACTTTTTAATGATTGCCATTCTAACTGGCGTGAAATGGTATCTCATTGTGGTTTTGATTTGCATTTCTCTAATGATAAGTGATGATGAACTTTTTTCATATGTTTGTTGGCCATATAAATGTCTTCTTTTGAGAAGGGACATTCAGTTTTTACAAGCTCATTAACTTGTTTGTATATGATTAATGTAATTTTAACAATTTACAGGATTCTTCTGTAATGTTCAAATGTGTAAAGAAGTTTAAATTTAACATGTGAAGTCTTAAATATTTTAATAAGAATTTATTAAATTTTAAGTTATTTTCTTCCTTCTTAGTTTAACTATACGGACAATGCTTATCAAGTCACTGAAGGTGATGAACTTGGGAGTATTCATCTTTTAGCAGTTTTGGAGACTTGCATGGTACTCAACACTGCTCCCTTCAAAGGGAAGGCTTGCGATGGCACAAAGCTCCATCACCCAATAAAGGAATATTCCTTGAACAAATTCAGTCACTGCCCAGGCAGCTCAAGGTGGGGCACCATATTAACTGAAACTCCTCACATGATAGGCTTCAGTTTGACCCCTACATTTGGGATTAGACTTTTTCCCATTGTGGCACAGTTTGACATTTTTCTTTATGATTAGGTGATGTTTTTAAATGACTTCTTGTGTGTTTTTTTATGGATACCAGTTTGGTAATGGTAAAAATATGTTTTAAAGTTATACCAAGACACAGAGGTTACACCATGAGCCTGTAACCATGAGAAAAATCTGGCGAAAAGTTCCTATCTGGCAGAAATCTGTCCTACAAAAGGAGAATATCAAGGGCCCCCTTCCCAGTTTTATGACAGTCCAATCGCTGAGGGCAGAACCAGTTACATAACTGCAGGCACCAATGCAAAATGAAAATGCAGGAATCCTTGTTTAAAAATCACGAAGTATTATTTCAAGATGGTAACAGCAGAGCATTAAACTAAGCACAGGGCCCTTCTAGGTACTGGGGCCCTTGCAACTGTGCAGATCTCATATGCCCATGAAGCCAGTTGGGGTGAAAGGCCTATATTCACATAGCATCTCTGCTTCCAAATAATTGTGCAATTATGGTAAAAGTGATTGTTCTGACTTTCCTGGTTCCTTTGGTCTTCATAAAAGAATGACTAAAGAAATGGACCTGAGAATGTCTGCCTCGCTTTGTATCTCTGCTTTTCCACTTTTACTAGCTTGCTGACTCTGGACAAGTTATTCAACAGTTCTGTGCTTCAGTTTCCTGTAAATCTAAGATAACAATGGTACAACCCTCATAGGTTTCTTATGGGAATTAAGTGAGTTGATATTTATAAAGTGCTTAGAGAAATGCCTGTAAACACTGTACAGTATAACTGTTTAAGTAAAAATTTTAAAAGTGCTCTCAATCTCTAGCAGGTTAGGAATTTTTTTATTTCAACTATTTTTGACCAGAGACCTACCATAACATCATTTTTCATACCATACTGATCGATTCTCTAAAAGTAGAGTGACCAACTGTCCTGGTTTGCCTGTGGCTGAGAGGTTTCCTAGGACACAGGACTTTCAGTGCTAAAACCTCCCAGACCTCGGCAAACCTGAATGGTGGTCACTCTGCAAAGTCTGATTTACTATGTTGACAAGAAGAGGGAGAATTACATATAACTGAAAGAGAGAGGGAGAGAGAGGGATAGAGAGAGAGAGAGAGAGAAAAGACACAGATGGAAAGAGAACACATATGTATTGCCAAGAATTGAAGGCTGTTGTGCTGGGAGCTGAGACACATTAGGAAGAGTATTAGACTGTATTGAAGGTAGCAAGATGGAAAAGGATATTGTTGGTAGAGCATTAGTTTTCAGTACTGCATTAGTTCTGGGTGGTAGCCCCACTCTGTTCTTTATCCCACCGTGCACCTCCCCACAGGGCAAGGAGGCCACAGGGCCAAGGAGGCATGCCTACTCAATTCCTATATATCCCTTTCTCAGCCACCCTTAGAGCACCAGGACTCTGAAATCACACATCCATGTAGTCCTGAGTCCTCTTTCAAGACCTGTGCTGACTCTTCCTTGAGGGGTCTGTCCGCTTAAGGGTAAAGCACGCTACCCCTAGCCAAGATTATTAGCCACTAGATAACTGTTTGTGGGAGACAGAGAGGGAGCTTGTGTGTACTGAATATTCTGTCTGCACATAACTACTGAGGCTCCTTATAGTGCAGGACAGAGTTGGGTGTAGGGGGAGAGGGGCAGGGGTGGAGTCTGGAAGACCATAGGCCAAAGGCTGGTTTCTTTGTAGAGTCTTGGAAATTCTAAATTTGAATATGGCCTTTCAGGTTGTTATGAAGGTATATTTGTCAAAGTAGGAGCATAAGACTGATTTGATTTAACAGTGTGTTAGTCCGATTTATAACTTCTAAATATTTATGTCTATGATACAGTATGTGGACTTTTGCTCTAGGCCTTGCAAAGTTAAGAGCAGGCCTATTAGTGCTAATGCCCTCCCATGATGAGGGCTAAAGAGCCATTCCCTGGGAAAAACTTACGTCATAGTCTGGGCCTCCTGAAAGAATTCATCTTCTGACATGGAGCCCTCCTTGATCATCTTAACAGCAACATCATACTGCCCCTTCCACTTGCCCAGCTGGACCACTCCAAACTGGCCACTTCCCAGCTCCTTCAACAAGGTAATCTCTTCTCTTTTCAGTTCCCAGATTCCTAACAAGGCAAGACAGACATTCTTTAGGATGAGCATAGAAAGCTCTGGGGCTAACAGCTCCCCAAGTGATTTCTTCTTCAATGGGAGTTTCACAGTGACAATATAAACAAGACTTTTTATTTTAAGTTGATAAATTAAAAAAAAAAACAAAACCTTAGTGATGTGGTCTTGTGGCTACTTGACGATGGCACCAGGACAACACTATTCTTGAAGTAGCTACAGTTATTTGACAAGAAGGCTCAGAGCAAAGACAATTTGCCAATCAGAGGCATCTTGGAGAGGCTCAGCATCAAAATGTACTCGATGTCCTTAGGTTGGTAAAACATTGTTAGATTTTTTTAAATAAAAAAATTAAACTGTGATCGGGGTGGATGTGATCGTCCTAAAACATAAGGTTGGATACTAGCTCTGCTGAGTGGGCACAAAATCCAGGAAAAAGAAAGGACAGTGGGGTGCTGGAGGCTAATAATGGGGTCTAATAAGAGAAAACAAATTGATGATCTTTTTGGTGATGCTAGAAGCTTACAGATTTAGGTTGAGAGGACAGATTTTTTTTTTTTTTTTTAAAAGAAAATCCTTCCTGATACAATCTGAGCAGAGGCCTCCTTCCTGTCTTTCCTCCTTTTTTTTTTTTTTTTTTTTCAGTAAATTAACCATATATTATTCAATCAAAAATGATGGAAAATGGAGTTTAAGAGTCCAGGAATGTTTCCATACCATTTCCCAGGGACACAGAGTCTGGGACCTTGTTGGCCTTTTTTGACACAGGGTGGCGGAGCCGTGTGATCATGCCTGCAATGGAATCAGCATCATATCACATCATTACATCATATCCCATCACATTATGTAAAGTTGGTTCACAACTAGTCTTTCTCCAAAGTGGCTGAAAAAGCAGAGTTCAGAATGTTGTAATGCAGAGAGAGAATCCATTCATGTTGTAGTTGTGCTTAACTTGACTAATTAGCTCAATGCAAAGCAAAAATTAGATGACTAAAACACTGTATGTGATTTTTTAAAATCCCATAGAAATTAATTGCATGATGGAATCTTTAAAAATTCTCTCCCTTCTTTTTTGCTATGTCTTTACCATCTTATGCTTAAATATGTATACACAAAGCACATACATTTGGCAAAAAATTCAAACAATACAGAAGGATAAAAAATAATAAGCCATCTGAATTTTTAAAAACTGAACCTATTACTAAGTTTCATTAAGTGGTCAAGTCATTTTAATTGTTTATATTTAGTTATGGTAAAACTGGGTTAAAATAATTATAAAATTTAATAGTTGCTTGAAAGAACCCATTACAAATATATGTATACATGTTTTTTGCTTTAAATGTGGAATGCTCTCCAAGTCAAGGGACCTATCACACATGTAGTTTTCCCCACCTTCCTTTTTCTATATATTTGTCTGGTTTTTATACGAGTGGTCTCCAAACTTTTAAAATCCTTCACTTTTACGTTTTTTTCTTGTTTCTCTGCTTGATAAAAATTCTTCACCTTTAATCAGCTAAATTAATTAATTAATTAAAATATAAAAATTAGTACATTTCTATAAAATATATATTTGGTGTGAATTATAAAAATACAATCACAAACAGAAAATGTAAGAGAATGAGATAAAAATCCAAATCTAAATAAACATCTTAATATTTTCTACTGATATCCTGTGAAGTTTCCTGTGCATCCTCTGCAGTGGAATCATTTCACTTAGAGATATCTGTTTGTCCAATACCTTTTCCAAAACGTACTTCTGAGGTACTACAGGTTAAAATAAACAATTGAGGAAATTGGAGCAAAGGAAACACAACAGTAGAAACCAAAATGAAAGCCAGAAGTGAGGCCAATTTACCTACATGCATGCAATCAAGTCATATAAAGTAGTACAAATTTAGTGCTGAGCTTATGGCTTATTTTTACTCACTTGGAAATTCACTCAGCCACTGCTCTTAGGTGGAAATTGGAAATTCACTCAGCCACTGCTCTTAAGTGGAAATTGGAAATTCACTCAGCCACTGCTCTTAAGTGGAAATTGGAAATTCACTCAGCCACTGCTCTTAAGTGGCACTATTCTAGAAAACAGAGGGTATTTCTAGATGTATTTTCATCAGTTGATTAGGCAAAAATTTAGAAGATTAATAACACCCAGTGTTGGTGAGGATGAGAGAAAATGTTGTTAGTAGGATTGTACATTTCTGAAAAGCAGTTGGCAATCTGTACATTTTAAGTATTCTTAGCCTTTGTCTCAGAAATTCCATTTCTAGGGATTTGGCTATAGAAACCACTCATATAGATGGACAGAGCTATGCATGCAGAATTGTGCACTGAAACTTCCATTATAATGTGAAAATATTGGACATGATCCAACTGCTAATCAACAGAGGGCTAGGTGAATAAATTATGGGGTAACTATGATAGAATTCTACGCAGCTGTTAAATAGACCAAAGTAAACTCTTTGTATTCGCATGGATAAACCTCTAAGACATGTGGAGTAAAGAATGCAAGCTGAGCAATATGTGTAGAATGATCTCATCTCTCTAAAAATGTAATGTATATACATAATATATAATTTCTATTTATATATGTAATGATTAGTAAGGGCTAGTGTCAGCATGCAGAAAACCCTGTCATAATAGACAATTGGTTCATGATCCAATGATATATATGTATATTTCTATAATATTTTAAATTTATAATCCTCTTGCTTCTATACACAGAAAAATCCTACAAATATTTTTATAAAGAGAATTTCTCTTTCTAAGTCACCTAGTTTACTCAATTTCATTTTTTCTGGCATTAAGGAGACAATCACGTTATATTCCTAGGAATGTAAGTTAAAAATTATGATAGGCAAAAGACTTGAGAGGATTTTTTCCTACTTTCACGGTTCCTTATATAATTAAGAATATTAGGAGGGTCAGTATTATCCAAGAAAATTAATATTTAAGAACAAGGGCCCATAAAAGGAAAAACTAAAATAAGTTACCTGCTGAATTGTGTTGGTGATAATGAATAAGCTTTGGAATGGAATCAAAACAGTAGTTTTCTGCCAGGTATAACTTGTTCTCAGCATTTGTATGCACATGGTAATGTTTGACAGTTCCTTTTTTATCACTAATAACAGAGAGAATGTTAGAACGTTTTAAATAAACAATTAAAACTTGATTAAGCAGGGTTAAATAATTATTTTAGATGCATTTGCAAATTTTGGAGAGAGAAGTCAGGGAGGGTTTCTCAGTCTTGGCATCTGGTGTTTTTCTCAGTCTTGACACCTGGTGTAACTATAAAAGTAATTATGGAAGAGAGTTCTTCTCTGAACCCAATGTATCTTTTGGTGCACATATAGAATTCATGTACAGTAAAATTCCAACTTTCCAGGCTTCTCCTCCCTTAGTAAGTGTATAAAACCGGAACCTTTCTTTGATGATCAAGAGGCTTACAGTTCTTCAGGATCATTATTCTGAGCATAAATTATCTTATAGGATAATAACAGAGGTGGAAATGAGGGAGGTAAAGGTGATTAGGCTGTTGGGTATCCTTACCCCAAAACATGGAAGGAGGCTCTTTTGGGGCATGCAGAATGAAGTAGGTGGGGATGTCCTTTAATTCCTCATGTGAACTTGTACCCTCTCCACATAAAACACTTTTTTCTTTTCCTCTGCTTTTATACAATAATGCTGACTTGATGCACGTTGATTTAAGCTAATCAGGAATGATACACCTGTCTTACATTGTAGACAATTACATAGTGGTCAAGAGCCAGGCTTTGATTTTAGTTCTATCACTTACTAGCTACCCTATATGGTTATGCCTGGCATATAAGAAACAGTTAATAAATTGTTGCTGTATAGAAAACTAACACAGGGACAGAAAACCAAATATCACATGTTCTTACTTGTAAGTGGGAGCTAAATGATGAGAACACATGGACACATGGAGGAAAACAGTGGACACTGAGGCCTACTTGAGTGTGGAGGATGGGAGGAGGGAGAGGAGCAGAAAAAATAACTATTGAATACTAGGCTTAGTACCTGGGGGATGAAATAATCTCTACAAGAAAGCCCCATGACAAGAGTTTACCTTTATAACAAACCTGCACATGTACCCACCAACTTAAAATAAAAGCTAAAAAAATTTAAAAATTGTTGCTGTAACATCAACCGAGTAAAAATTGCAAGTGCTAAAGGAGAAAGGGTTCTTCTCTTTGCTGCAAATGTTTAATCAGCTTTTGGTGTCAGCATACAATTCACTGAAGGCCATTGATGAGGTTTCATAAAAGAGGGCTTCTGTATTCATTTGATTCTTTATCTATTTGCTGATTTATCTACCTGGCTACCTTAAAAAATGAATCTGGAGTCAAGAAACTTGACTAGGAGGACATCTGATACCAGGTTTGGCTGAAACTGCAGGGCCAGAGGACCACAAAGCTTTTGATACTCAGTCAACAAAGTCTTCTCCTGATTCTTACTGGGTTGGCTTTAGCCAGCATCCAGGTGTTACCATGTGAAAAATAATATATGAGATACACTGGGGACGTGGATTCTGGCATTGGAAAGTGCTGTGGGACAATTCAGGGTACATCCTATTATCTCAAGTGTAGGTAGGCACTCTGTAAAAAATTTCAAAATAAAAAATGTTTTTATTACTTAATTATTATAAATATACATATATGCACTGTGGGGTAGGGCACATGAAGAAGGCACCGAGGCAGACGATCATTCAATATAGCTGCTAAAAAAGAGTCGCACACATAGAAATTTTTTAAAAAAGATCCTAATCAGTATTTGACCAGATTCTCATTCCAAAACATTGGGGGTTCAGTGTAAACACAGAGGTGTAGATGAAGGAATATGACTTGGCTATTGGAAGCCCAGCTTCAACTAGTCACTTATTAGCTCCAGGTAGGTCTTCATAAGCTCTTTTTGAACCTCAATCCTCTCATCTGCAATATGGTGTAAATAAAAACAGCTTTCCCATTTGCTTTGGAGGATGATCAGAAGGAAAAAAAGAGCTAACTACCAATAAGAAAGTGGCTTGTAAAACTCTGGAGAAGGATTCTGATGATGATTTGCATGAGATGACTATGGGGTGTCTTTTATGCCCAAGTGTTAGGGTACAGGGAGTGCAGCAGGTAGAACTACTCTTCCCCAGCAGCAACAACCACAATAATAGTAATTACTGTTAGTTTATTAAGTGCTTACTATGTGTCAGGCACTGTTCTGGATATAACATATGAATTAACTCACTCCACTCATGGAACGTAACAATCATTATGTTCCCCTTTCAAATGAAGAAGTTGAGGCACAGAGGCTGAGAAACTTGCTCGATGTCACAAAGCCCTGAAATAGTAGAGCCAGGATTTGGATCTAGAAATTTGGCCTCAAACAAGAACTTTTAGTCACACAAAGAGGACAGAGCCCTGGAAGGAAGCTGTGTAGAGAACACAGCGGCACTGAGTCAACCTTCTTTCTGCTAACTCCGAACCCAGTGGAAGGACTTACTAAGAACTGGACACTGGAATAGGCACCTTTGCTCAGCAGGTGGCTAGGGCTGAGAGTATAGAGGCTCCACTGCTATTTTTTTTTTCTTTCTAGGCTTAGACCTAAATGAAAGGGAATCACCCAGGAGTCTCTTAATAAACATTTACTGAGGCATGCTGTGCTCTGGGCACTCTGTTACTGCCTAGGGTGGGGCAGGAGAGGATTAGCCAGAGAATGGCCTCTTGAAAGTAGTGGGGCAAGGATGGTGGGGCAGTGGGGTGAGGGTGGTGGAGGCAACTACAAATGGTCACATTCAACAGAAATACTTTGATTTAAAATTCCAGAGTTTAAAGATGATGTCTTATCCCAAAATGTGACTGTGACCAGCATATTCAAAGAATATACGCAGAAAGGTAAAAGAAATAAATCCTTATCATACTTACTTCACAGCCTTACTAAATAAGGACACTGTGTACATTCCCACTTGGCTCGAATTTCTAACCATAAATGCTCCTTCTTTTCCCTAAAAAGGAAGGAAAATATAGAAGGAACAGAAAATATTTTCATTATTCTCGAAAATGATTTTGCATGGTAGGTAGTTGGAAAATAAATCTTTTTGATTGACTTTATATGTCACAAAGGCACAGGTTTCTCACTCAATCTCTTTACAGATCTTCCCTATGTGTGTGAACACTTCCTCTCCAATTAATGTTTAACGCTATAACATACTTTTCTCGGTGTTGTGCTTATGTAAGCCTAATGTTTTCATCTTTAAGAAATGCAATTTCGAACCATGTATCACCGTATCATGCCCTTGGAAGGTTTTAGAAAACCAAACATCCAGAATAAATCAGTTGTTAAAGTTCTACACTCAAGCTGTCTTTCTCAATGACTTGTGCTAATACTAAGCGATGAAGGTTCAGAAAGAGCAGATTATAAACTATGAATGTGACAAAACACCACATGAAGTCATTACATTCTCACTAGCACCCCTCAAAGAAATAAGTGTAGTGTTTAGTGTTTTTATCAGGTTAAACTATATCGAAGTGTCATTTTTAGAAATCAAAAGAGTTTGCTACTGGCATTCCATACTAATTAGTAATAAAGTCAGATAAACATATACTGTATCACATCTGCTATACTCTGGTCTAGGTGCTAATGAGCAGTGACAGAGCTCAGGTTAATGGCTACATTGACAGCCTCCAATAAATCATTTCTTTTATTCATGCTCTGAGCAGTCCCTTCCCATACTGACTCTAGGCTGAGTCATGTGACTTGCTATGACCAACGGGACCTTAGCAAACACAACGAAAGCAGAGACTTGAAAAGTGCTTGCACCGTGGGGCTCGTCCTCTTCAACCACTGCCTTGAGATCACCATGCTGTGAGGAGGCCCAAGAAAGACACATGGAGAGGCTGCTTGGGGAAGAACTGTGGAACTCCACTTGACTGCCTCAGCTAAACCCAAGCCCCCAGTCAACTCACCACCCAAATGCAGCCACAGGTGTGCCCCTAAGCAAAACCTGCCTAAGAACTGCTGGCCCAGCTGACTCACAGAATCACGAGATATCATAAATCCCGCTGCTTCAAGCCACTAAATTTAGGAGTGGTTTATTATGCAGCAATAAATAATGGACACAGAAGTAGAGGCTAGACATGAAGAGTCGGGCAACCCACAGACTGGACAAGCAACACTACAATGACTTGACTATATAATTAGCAGCAAGGTTTCTATGAGAAATGCATCAGCCTCTGGACCCCAAAATACAAAGAGATTCTGTGAGGCTGTTTTAAAGACAAGACTATTTACCTTTTGTCTGAGTAACTGTTCAGATTGTGATCTGGAGATGTTACCAGCAAACCAGCTGCAAAAGGAAAAAAATTTATATGTGAGAATCAATAAGTTTTAGATTGTATAGCTTGACACTCAACTTTCTAATCTGTAAAATGAGGCATTGGCTTACCTCAGGGGTTTCCAAGCCTAACTGCTCAAGAGAATCATTTGAGGAGCTTTTCAAACCTACAGATGCTTAAGTCCCCATTACCAAATTCTGATGTTGGGGTGGGGTCTGCACATCTAATTTTTAAATGGGCTGGCATTTAGGAATCTTTGGTTTTCTTCTGGGTGACTTCTAAGTTTTCCTACATTTTACCATTTTGAGTAAGGGTTAGAGATTAGACCTATGAAGAATATTCCAAGAGGAAAGTCAGGGCTGCCAAGGATGAAAGCCCTTATCTTCCAGTCATATAATTTCCTTGTAATAATATGATGATAACATCTATTTTCAGATCAAATGCTTTTACTTTATATGTGGAGCTCAACAGGCCAAGAGCTGTTTCTCATGTGAGGGCAACAATGTCTGTGGCCTTTGGGTTTTAGACAGAATGTCCTACTTAGGAAATGAGTAAAAGTAGGGCACGGGGTGGGATGTAGCATGGGTTTGGGTGAGTGGGAGGACCGACTGGCTAGAAGATAACATTTGCAGAGGAAAGAAGTACAAGAGGAGGGTGAGGGCAGAAGGGAGGAGTTGTAGGAGAAATTCAATGTAGAAGGTATCTCAGAACTTGGCAGGAATAGATAGGAAGTGATTCTCTGTATAATCTCTGTATGAGTTTTGGGAAGGGTTGTAAGCTGGTGGACAGTTCAATAAAATAGAAAGAGCCTTAGGCCACCCAGCTTGGAGGTCTGGGTTCTAGGCATAACTTCCCTATGTGTAACTGTATAACTTCGAACAAGCCACTTGGCCTTGTTTGACCTTGGACTTCCCTACCCGTAAAAGTAGGGAGAGGGTTGATCTTGATAAGTCTGAAAGTCTCTTTCAACTCTACCATTATGGATACTGTATAACTAATACTTGAAATATTAACTGATAGGTTTTCTTATTAGTCAACATTTTAAGGTAATACTAGCTAATCAAAAGGCCCTTCAGGAGCTATGATACAGGATATATACCTACAGGGGAATAGAAGGAAGAAAATCAGGAATCAGGAGAGAGACCTGGAGAGGCAAGGTGATATAACCTATATACCCTATACATTATACCCCCCACACACATACAAACGTTGCCTGTGTCATAATTTTGCTGAGGCCTGCCTCTTATTGTTTTAAATAATATTTTAGTATTTCAATGACAGAGCAGCAGAGTCCTAGGCATAAGGTGTTTTTTTGTTGTTGTTGTTTTGTTTTTTTGTTTTGACAGGATCTCACTCTGTCATATAGGCTGGAATGCAGTGGCATGATCTCGGCTCATTACAGCTTTGACCTCCTGGGCTCAAGTGATCCTCGCACCTCAGCCTCCCAAGTAGTTGGGACTACAGGCATGGGCAACCACACCTGGCTAATTTTTGTATTTTTGTAGAGACAAAGTTTTGTCATGTCGCCTCGGCTGGTATCAAACTTCTGAGCTCAAGCGATCTACCTAGCTCGGCCTCTCAAAGTGGTGGGATTATGGGTATGTGCCACTGTGCCTGGCCTGGCCTAGTCTAGTTCATTAACACATGATTTTCTATCTAAATCTCAGTGCTTAGTGCTTCTGTCTTTAATGGAATTGACTGGAATTGCTCATGAAATTATGGCCATAAAACAAAAACTCCCATGACACCAATAGAATAGGAAGCTGGGAGAGCATCAAGCACAATGTGAGGTGACTGAGTCCCAGATCCTATAGCCCTATAATCCCGAGCTCCCTTTGGTATCTTTTTTATTTTAAGAGGACAAGTCTTCCCTGAGAATTTCCTCAATGTCTGTCTCTCATACACCACTTGCATTCAGAAAAGATGGGAATAGAGACTGTCTAAATGGTCATATCTGGCTTACCCAATCAGAGAAAGATTTCCAACTTATTTAAATGCTAAAGACTACAATCCACAATTAGAGGTTCACTCCCATTGGTTTAAGTCTTTGTGTTTCATTAAAGTGCAATTATCTTTGGAAATGACCATGGGTTGGTCATTCTCAGTCTTTTATGCCTTAGTATGAATTATTCCGTCAATGCTTTCCTGAGAATAGATGTTAGGGAAGAAAGTAAAGCCGAAAGAGAGCTAGAAAGTGGTAAAGAGACCATGCCACAAAGAGGTGGAGGGTACAGCACATCTTCCCCAATGCAACAGGTATGGCTAGGGCCAGGCTGGGTTAGAGATGAGAGGAGGAGTGAAAACAGTAGCACGTACTTTGGAAAAGTTCCTGTTTCACACGTAACCAATAAATCAATAATACAACACTTGTACAAAAACAGAACTGGAAATGCGCATAATCCTAGTGTCCAAGTGAATTCTGTGCCATTTGGTATCAAGTGTCTGAGAAATGCAATATGCTGTATTATTCCCACCTCTTCTTAACACTAATCTTTACATCTAGGAGACAATTATTTGTCCCTATTTGTAGAATGATGGACCCTTAGATTTTGGAAGGAAACTTAGGCCAACCTCCTCAATATATTTGGGGTGACCACACATTCTTATTTGCCCAGAAGTCCAATTTATGCTTGATGTCCAGGTGTAATTTTTATTTTAATTTTTGTGAGTACACAGCAGGTATATATATTTATGGGGTAATGAGATGTTTTGATACAGGCATGCAATGTGTAACAATCACATCATGGATTATGGGGTATCCATCCTTTCAGTCGTTTATCCTTTGAGTTACAAACAATTAATTATATTCTTTAAGCTATTTTAAGTGTATAATTAGCTGGGTATGGTGGCTCACACCTGTAATCCCAGCACTTTGGGAGGCCAAGGCGGGTGGATCACCTGAGGTCAGGAGTTCAAGACCAGCCTGGCGAACATGGCAAAACCCTGTCTGTACTAAAAATACAAAAATTAGCTGGGCGTGGTGGCAGGCGCCTGTAATCTTAGTTACTCGGGAGACTGAGGCAGGAGAATTGCTTGAACTTAGGTGGTGGAGGTTGCAATGAGCTGAGATCGTGCCATTGCACTCCAGCCTGGGCAACAAGAGCAAAACTCTGTCTTAAAAAAAACAAAACAAAACAAAACAAAACAAAAACCAAGGTCACCCTAAGAATAGAGATTTGTTGACATAAATATTGCCATGTTCAAGGTGTACCCTGTAAAATTACTGCATCATTAATAACTTCTCCAAAAATATTACTCAATGTTAGTAAGAGCTTTCAAACATCACCTTAATTAGAGGTCTCCAGGAAAGAAATAACGAGCAGAAACATTATATGCTACATCTACAAAGACAAAGTAAAATGAAGGTGATGCTGGACATATGATAAATCCAATGAGTATTTGCAGCCAATTTAGATAATCCAGTTTTGGGGAAAATACTTTCATTGGTAACAACCCAGCTCATTGTCACCTGTCACCTAGAAAAATGACCCAGAACCTTACATGAGTTTACCCATGTAAATACAGCCTCCTGAGACAGTCTCAGTCATCTGTTTTCATGTCTTTGAGGAAAAGAGTAGAAGTATCTATGTCTAGTTTTAGAAGAACCCATAAGACTTTCAATACTCACTCATAATCATCCAGGTTTGCCTCTTCTTCAGATGAACTTGACTCAGGGAATCCCCTTAAGAAAAGATGAGAAAAACGTAAGTGCAAAAAAGCACCAAGAAATAATCCAAGTGCCTAGCCATGCAATATCAAATCCCATCCTGATTTTATCCACCTAACATTTAGATTGTTAGGTTTCTCCTTCTGCACCTGGGAAGGTATCAACACAGCAACAGTAAAGATAGAGTCACTCAAAAGTTGGGCTTATGCCAAGTTTTGATGAAAGAATGGTTCCTTGATACAGGAGATCCCCGGGAAGCCCCCAGAGGAACTTGTATTTTTTTGACTTTTTCCAAAGAGTGGGTTCATGAAATAGATGAAGACTCCTTCAGAGATGGGTGTAGTATAAAGTTAAAAAAAAATTGGGTTGTGTATATAGCTATTCTTATGGAAGAGTTATTCAATTCTAGGTTGCGTTTCTTCCCTCTAGAGATGCCTAGGTCAGGTGTACTAATGTCCGTGCTACTACTGGTGTATGTCATGGATGCTGGCTAGGAAAAGTCAGTGCAAGAAAAACTAGAACCCAAAAGTCATCCATTCAGGGTCTAGAGAGGCAAACTACATAGACTTTTTTGCTTTATATTTACCTTAAGTACAAAGCCTAGCTGCAAAATCATTGCAAGTTTGTTAAGTTTTCCTGAAAATGGAAGCATATTCTGGATGTAGAGGAATATCTGAATTTGATTTACCATGAAATCTTTGTGGTGGTGTGATTTACATTTCTTTCTTTTTGGTTACTACTTGCAACATCTTCACTGCTGCTGCTACTGCAAAAAAGAGACATTTTGTAAGTTTATAAACATATGTCTACTTATAAATTTTAAATGACAGAAGTAATTTTGTTCATATATGTTTTAGCTTTATTTGACATTTTGACCCACACATTTCACTTGTTTGGGAAATTTAAGCTAATGAGTTACTTTCACATTTTGATTCTTTCAGGCATTCCAATAAAAGCAGTAGTTTGGCAACATTCCTAAACAAAAGAAAATTGTTAATAATGGCTCATAATGACCCCAAACAATGGAAAATCTAGATTAATAAATCATCTTGATTGGATTTGCCCTGATTTTCTTATAGATATGCAAGCATTCTGTCACTTATATATTTTAAAATAATTTATTTTCCTCTTTGCTAATGTGACTACAATTAAAATTCTTGAAAATGCTGATCTTTTTACTCCTTCTGGACACAGATGGATAAGCAGGATTTTCATCATCCTCTGCCATAGATCATTTTATCTCTTTTATTTGGAGTATTAAGCAGAGCATGAAGAAGTGCCTACCTCTCAAAGTCTAAAGGCTGTTTTATCTGGAATGTAGGACCTATTTCCTGTTTGCCTTCATAGTCCAGACTTTTTTTCAAAACCACAGTTCATAGAAACAAGCTTCCTTAGCAAGGAAATGCTCCCCTGGCTCTATTTCAAGGAATGCCTAGATAAAGCCCTTAAACTCTAAAATGCCAAAGCTTCCCAAAGAGCCTTGCCCACTAGAATAGCTTTTATTTAGCCTTGTTTCTAAAAACACTTAGAGAATGTCCATCAATAGTGCATCACTTAGGTTTACCCAATAGCTATATAGTGAGTACTTTACAGACATTAAAAATAATCAGGTAATTTGCACAACAATGTAAATGTACTTAACACTACTGAACTGTATGCTCAAAAATAAGATGGTAAACTTTATGCTATGTATATTTTACCAAAATTAAATGAAAATGAAATTTTAAAAGTCAGGTGTATCCTCACGTATTCAAATAGGAAAAATGCTGAAGATGTCAAGTGAAAAGAACAAATGGCAAAGACTGTATCATGAGAACTTACTTGCTTTTTATGCACATGGCCACATGGGCATAGAAAACATTTTAGGGGAATGCAAATGGAATATTCTGCAATATTTGAATGATTTAATAGGAGCATAGATTATCTTACTAAACAGAAAACAGATTAAAAAGCAGCTCAGGGGAAGATTATAAGAATGACAGAAAGTTGATAAAAAGTATTATCCCATATATGAGCTGAGAATTATGGCTGCACTTTAAAAAGTCAAGCTCCATGAAGGCCTTTTAGCAATTATTATAATTCACTCTCAGATGCAATGCTGCTCATGCTAAGAGAGAATCAATCCTTTGTTAAAATAACTAGATTCCTGAAGTTCTAGGGAAAATCCACAGTTGGGACCAAACCTAAGGAGGTGCAAATCTAGGGGAGTGTCAAAAACTCAATAATCAAGATAAATAATATTTTAATGAACAAAATATTGACATTTTAAATAAAGGTTGGATCCAGCAATTTATGAGTTGGTAGCTGGGCAGCAACCCCATGTGAATCAACAGTTCTTTCTGGTTATTTGAAAACAGGTCAGTCAGTTTCACCTCACACCTCTCTCAGTGAATCACTGGAGTTTCTGTCAGGAAGGGGACCTGGAACACCATTAACACGACTTCCACTCTCCTTGCATCTGGGTTTACTGATCCTCTCCTTCCACAAGAACGGTGGGCTACAGGCACACAAATGTAATCCCATCCCTTGGGCACCAGGATTAATACACTAGGATTCTAGTTCCACTTTGGAATGAAAGGGACCATGGCTTATTATACTGAAAAAAAATCAAGAAGAATACACTTACATTATTTCAAATTCCGTATGGCCCTGTATTATTGAAACTTTGAGTAATTGGCTTTAGGCAAAAATGATGAGGATGGAAAGAACAAAGGAATAAAAGGACACAGGAAAAATAACTATGAAAAGAGATACATGGTGAGTGAGAGAGATGATCTGTATCCATTGTGGGGAAAGGCAGACATGACTTCCCTGCAGGGATGCTGATAACCGAGTGAGAAGATGGCAGAGAGTAGACAATGTGATAGGAAGGAGGTCTGAGACAGGAAATAAGGAAGGGAAGTCACTTGACCCTTTCCATATGGTCATCTTGCAATTCAGTTCAGCATTTATTTGGCATCGAGTGTAGGGCAAATTCAGTGCCAGACCAAGAGATATATACATACACGATTTACATGTTGCCTTCAAGGAATTTTCAATTCTGGCTTTAGATAGAATCTTTAGGCTAAAAACTGTGAGAAGACTAATCAGGTCAGGAGAGGCGAGGTTGTACATTCCAAGAAGGCAAGCCATGGCCTTGCTTGAAATGCTATTTGCCATCTGGCTAGTGACACTGAAGCACATTGCAGAAGTAAGCCCATCCTAAGCTCTTTCATATAAAGGATAGATTTCAAAGATTCTGTATTCTGGAATGTGGAGATATTTGCGGGGAGAAGGAGGAGAAAGGGAAGGGAATACAATGATCATGCATTATTGAGATCATTAGATTGGATAATCTAAATGGAAAATTTATGCTTCTCAGCCCCAGTGGGGCCACTGCTTCCCCAGGCTTCTGGCTCAAGCACTGAACATTTTCTGAGAGGACAGCCTAAGGCCTGGATTAACAGCTTTGAGGCTGAGGTTCAGGGTAGTGGGGTAGTGTTTACTCTACATGCTGGGCAGCTGGTCTGAAAGCTGGGGATTACCTTTTCAGTTTTCTTTCTTGCCCCCAGTCAGGGTAGTCTTCTTTTGGAATATACTGCATGTTGAAGTTTGGCTGGGAGCCATAGATTTTCTTTGAGTTGCTGTCATATTGGGCTACAGTGGTACTTGAAGATGGTGGCTGGAAGCCATAGTTTTTCATTGATTCGTTGTCGTATTGGGCTAGAGTGGTACTTGAAGATGGTGCATCCATTTTGAGAACAGGAACTGCCCGAGGTATCTTCAGCTTTGGAGGGGAAGAGATTTTAACACATCACAGTGAGGCACAGATTCAGGTACCGGGAACTGACAATTAAGTATATCAGTTCTTGAAAGAAAGAGAAAGGAAAGAGGGAAGGGAGGGAGGAAGGGAGGGAGGAAGGGAGGGAGGAAGGGAGGGAGGAAGGGAGGAAGGAAAGAGGCAAGGAAAGAAGAAAGGTATGAGCAAGGATATGGAGCAACTGGAACTCATACTTTTGCTGGTTGGAGTATGAAGTGGTACAACAACATTGGAAATTTGTTTGCAGAATCTAGTAAATCTGGATGTGCATCTGGTCATACCCTATGACTCATAAATTATATGTATATATACCCAACAGTGAAACCAAAAGACCTGTAAAAGAATGTTCATAGCAGATTTTAATTAGATAAAAACTAGAAACTGCCTACATGCCCATCAAGAGAATAAAATAATAAACATGTTGTGGTTGTTGAAGGCTGAATAATGGTCTCCCGAACATGTTCATGTCCTAATTCCCAGAATCCGTGAATAGCTTACATGGTAAAAGGGACTTTGCAGCAGATTGTAATTAAGTTAAGGATTTTGAGATGGGGTGACTATTCTGGATTTTGTGGGGGTGGGCCTGATGTGGTCAAAAGGGCCCTTATAAAAGGGAGATAAGGTGGTCAGAGATTAGAGAGCTGTGAGGATGGAAGCAGAGATTAGACAGCAGAGGAGCTGCGACCTTCTGGTTCCGCAGACGGGGGAAGGAGCCAGAAACCAGTGAATGTAAATACCCCTTAGGAACTGGAAAACGCAAAGAAACAGATTTTTCCCTAAAGCTTCCAGAGGAAACACAGCTGTGCAGATCCATTTTAGACATAAGATCTTCCAAACTATAAGAGAATAAATGTTTGTTGCTTTAAGCCACTAAATTTGTGTGGTAATTTGTTAGAACAGTAATAAGAAACCAAAACAGTTGTATATTCACACAACTGAATTCTATACAATGATGACAGTAAACTACAATCACATACTAAAAAAAAGGCAAATCTCATAAATTAAAGAAAAGAAGACACACAATAAATGACTATACACTTTATAATTCCATTCATATAAAAGTCAAAATCAGGCAAACAATCTATGATGTCATAAATCAGGTTAGCAACTACTTTTGGAGGGTAGTAATGACTGAAAGGGAACATCAGGGTGTCCCTGGGGTTCTGTGATGTTGTGTTTCTTTATCTGAGGGTGGATTATAGAGAAGTGTTCAGTTTGTGAAAATTCATCAAGCTGAACACTTAGGATTTGTGTGCTTTTCTATGTTCATGTTATACTTCAGTTAAAAATTCACAGTGTGTGTGTGTGTGTGTGTGTGTGTGTGTGTCTGTGCGTGTGTGACAGACAGAGATGCATTCAACATTTTTGTCATGCTGTATTTTACTTTTTCAGAAATTTCATTTACTTGGAGTTAAGGCTTTGACATTCTAGAAATTTTAATTATGCAGCACAGTGTTATTTATGAGCTGTGAAGTGGGCTATCTCCAAAGAAAAATGCACTGGGAAGTTCCTTAAATGGAAATCATTTAAGGAAATCTCTTAGAACAGAACAGCTAGAGAGCTGATTTTTATTTCCTCCATTCAGAAAATAAGCCCTCTACTGAACACTCTGGTAAAAAACAAAACAAAGAAAAACATACTTTACATGATACCCTCTGATCCATGGTTCATCTGGGAAGCTTATAATCAATACAGGCTTATGAACCCTTAGCCACTGATTTGCCTAACTGATAATTTTCAGTACATTGGCCAAAAAATTCCCTGCTGGAGACTAGATGCAATGGTTTCTGGCTCTTAAATTATCTTCTGCTCTTAGAGTTGTCAAAACAAACTTTATTGGTAATTCATCCTTTTTAAAGTGCAGAATTCAGTGACTTCTGTAAATTTATCAACTTGTATAACCATCACCACAACCCAGTCTTTCCATCACTCCAGTAAGATCCCTCATACCTATTTGCAGTCAATTTCCATCCCTACTCTGGTCCCAGGCAACCACTGATCACCCTTTGTTTTTATAGATTTGCCTAATCTGGGCGTTTCTCCTAGGTGTTTTAGAGGGCCATACTTTTCAAGCTTCAGGACTGAAACATATTTTCAAACCCAAACAGCAATGTTGCTAATAACAAAGTAAAAACTCCTAACCATTATAATTGTTTCCTAGGGCTTCCATGACAAATTGCTACAAGTCTGGTGGATTAGAACCACAAAAATTTATTATTTCACAGTTCTAGAGGTTAGAAGTCAAAATAAACGTTTCAGCATTGCTGTATTTACTCTGAAGCCTCTAGGAGAAAATCTTTGCTTGCCTCTTCCAGCTTCTGGTCCTTCCAAGTTGCTATGGTTTGGATATTCGACCCCTTCAAATTTTATGTTGACGTGTGATCTCCAGTGTTGGAGGTAGAGCTTAACGGGAGGTATTTGGGTCATAGGGGCAATCCCTCATTAATGGCCTAGTGCCATTCTCATGGTAGTGAATGAGTTCTCACGCTATGATTTTCCATGAGAGCTGGTTATTGAAAAGAGTCTGCCACCTCCCTTCCCTCTCTCTTGTTTCTTCTCTCTTACCGTGCAATTTCTGTACACACTAGCTCCCCTTCCTTCCTTAGACTGGAAGCAGTCTAAGGCCCTCATCAGATGCAGATGCCAGTGCTATGCTACTTGTACAGCCTGCAGAACGGTGAGCCAAATAAACCTCTTTTCTTTATCAATTACCCAGCCTCAGGTATTCCTTAGTAGCAACACAAATGGACTAAGAAACAGGTGTTCCTTGGCCTGTGGTAACATAACTCCAATCTCTTCCTAGGTCTTCACATGGCCTTCTCCTCTGTGTATCTCTCTGTGTCCTCTCATCTTACTAGTCATTGGATTTATGGCCCACTCTCATCTTTTGTGTGATTTCATCTTGATCTTCAACTAATTATGTCTGCAAAGATCCTAGTTCCAATAAGGTCACATTCTGAGGTTCTACATGGACATGAAATTTGGGGGACATTATTCAGTCTACTACAATCATGGATTATTTTTGTCTTTCATGTTGATTCACAAAAATTATGTTGCTTTTACTTAGAAAGAGAGAAGTAAGTGTGTGCGAATGTGTGTAGCTGAAAATAAGTACCCAAGACACCATAGATCCAATAGGCGGGTGGAGATATCCCCTTGCTTTCAGGTGAACTTCTAGAGAACCACTGGGAAGCCATTTTGTGTGTATCCTGGCATTTGAGGAGGCTCACACCTGCCTGGGAACCCTAAAAACAGGAGGCTGTGGCTATGAATCTAAGAGAGCGGAGCAAAAAGAGAGCAGTAGCCTGTACTTCAAGAAAGAGCTACATACAGCTTAATTAACCAGAGCAATCAAGGTTTTGTTTGTTTTCTTATAGGCCAACTCCACCCTTGGGAAAAAGTTGGCTGACAGCCATCTTGAAAGGTTGAGGGCTGAAAATCTGAAAATCCAAGTGCTGAGGATCAAAATCTCTCCCCTGTCATAAAACTACATATGGATCTGCCCTTCAGTAGGAAATTCCCAAAAGTCTCCCATGAGATAAAGAATCAGTGCTGGAAAACTCACTCAGATACCACCACCACATCATGACAGAAACAGCTATGTGTGTGTTTTTTTAATTAGACCTCGTCTTCCTTGGAACTAACTCTGAAAGGGCCATAAACCTCAGCCACTCCAAAATCCCTCCCCAAAAGCAGGCTGCCAGGTGATGCAGGCCTAAGCTAGGTGAAGGATGTTTAACTTGGAATGATGTTTGCAGTCATATGATAATAACATTGGGTGGAACAATTCAGAGGCTGTTCTCATGATTACAAGTAATGGGGAAATTTTTATCATTTCAGAGTGACTGCAAAACTATGGAATCTGGCAAAGACTTTATTTGGAAGCGGGGAAGAAAGCCCACTGAATAGTTTTGAAGGGATAATGGAGGGAAAGAATTATGTTGTTTTCTGCTTTTGTCCTATAGAGTTCCATTTCAACACCAGGATACTTCCATGAAACAGTCTTGGCCATGTTGATGGTAAGGAAAGAATGACAGCTAATAACAGCTGCCTGTTATGTGTGATGCCATCTTAAGGACATCTCCCACATGTACACATTTTTTTGGTGACTATTTATGGGCTTACTGGCTAGGAAAAGACACAACAATTAAATACAAAAATATCAGATATTACAATGGTTCTATATTTGAATCCACTATTCAATACCACCCATAGCTATTGTCTGGAGCTCATGGTTTTTCTCTCTTTGCTGGGAAGTCTAAATGAATTCCACATTTTCTAGTCTTGAATCTGGCAACTCTTGATTTATTTAATATATCCTGACCATGAAAAACATTTTTAAAATATTGACTTACCACTCTGTCTGGGAAGGTAGGAACTCTGTATTTCTCTTCATTGACTGCAATATGCAGATTAGCATCTGAGCATTAAAACAAAGTAATATCAGAAGGAACTTTAAACAAAACAAAGAGAAACACTCAATGTTATGAATTAAAAGAATGAACCAGCTTGTGTGAGCAATACTCCAGATTAAGTGAATCCAGACACAACATCTGGAGTGATTCTGTAGCTTTCCTATATAAGGCCCAGCTCCTATGTAGTTCATGTATCCTGGAAAAAGGGTGGATCAAGGCATCTTGGACAAAAAGAAATAAAGACACCCAACTTTTTCTTTTAGTTGTTATGCCCATGGACTTCCTGGTAGCTCAGCAGAAGCCAAGGGAATAAATTGTACTTGGACAGATAGACAGTATTACAGCTGCTCAGGAACTGCAACACCTCTACACTCTGTAGTTTTCCTCAGAGGCACAGCACCTGTGGCACCCAGAACACATGCCGAGTGTCATCCAGACAGAGCCTAGGAAGGCAATCCCAAGGCAGTGCTCTCTCTGGCCTTTTTCCTGCTCCTTCCAGAAAGTTAGGGCATGGTCAAAGCTGGAATCTGACCTGCTAGGTAATGATAAAAGACCATAGACAAAACCACTGGGGAAAATGATTAACACCATAAGGAGACATTACTCCTCAGTCCCTTACAGTGGAGGGAAGGCCCATGTGCAGCCAATCTGTAGAGCTCATTAAATCGCTATAATTCATGAGTATACAGAGCAATGTGATCTAGTTGAGATTAATAAATATTCATTGTATAGTCTAATTAAGATGGAAAACACAATGAATACTTATTGATTGATTTTTTGGGGGTAAAATGACCAGTAGTAGCATTAACATGATTGTTGGGTATCAACACTGTTATGAAGTGAATTTAAAAAATATTTTATGTGCCGGTATCTTTTCCAGTTCATGAAGTTCTATTCTGTAGCTGATCTCATTCAATTCTGTAAAGCTGTTGTAATCCAGGCATATTTTGTCCAGGCTGGTAAAACTGGTACCAAAATAAGTTCTCCTATTTTGTATTTTTCGACAACTTTATGTTAAATAATTATAAACTTTAAATATATATAAGTCCCTCTTGTTTCCCTGGGAATACAACTCTGGATAGAACCTGATTTCACATAAAGCAACCCCTTCTCTCATGTCATTAAGAAATTAACACACATATACAGAATGGCAAACTGCTTTAAAAATATATTTTAAAAGTTGACCATTATTTTAGTATATATGGTGATGAAAAGTGTTACTTAAATTATATCTTTCTTTTTTTTTTTTTAAAAAAAAGAATGTTGTTTTTTCAGTTTGTGATTTTTGTTATTTATAAGAAGAGCGAGCTGGTTTTCTTATCAAACTGGAAACCTAGCTGTTTGAACCATGATGACATATCCAACATATTCTACCTTTTTGGAGTTTATCTTGAACCAATAAAAATTATGGGAGGAAATAACAGCTCATTGCTTGATTAATGATTAAAATTTTTAAAATGTTTCTCATGAAATGAAAGAATGGCAGACGTTAATATTGTTATTATCTTAATGGCCATGACTCAATTGACCCTAGAATGAGATTTCATTTGTCACATAGCATCTGCAAGGCTGAATTTTCATGATGCCAACCAATCTGGCACATCTCGTTTTCTGGCAAGCTCTTCTGGCCTCTGGCAGGTTTAGCCTAATGGAGCACTATCCACCCAAGGTCCAGTCCAACAGAGGAATCACACATTACATGCTTCCCAGAGGGTACATCCTGGGGCTGCTTTACAACTCTGCTGGCAACACAGGAACTTCCCGTCCACGAAGAACCCACTATGGTACTTGATCAGCAGATGGGGGTTACCCCTTATCTCTGAGGAGCAGACAGGAAGAAAACAAGACGTTAGCAAACGTTGATCCAAGAGGAGAAACATATTCAGTAAGTGCTGTAATCACAGAACAATAAAAACCCCATTTGGCCAGCAACCAAGGTAAGAGCAAATGGTTCCAGAAGGATATAGGTCTTTCACTCAACAGTTAATAAGCCAAAAAGAAAAAAGAAAAGTCTAACCATGAGTATGTTGAGAACAACACAATAACATATCATTTTTGAAGAAAAAATAACTAGTAAAATGCATATACAGATCAGCCTGATGTTAGGATTTTAGAGATAGATCCGTAAAGAAAGAGAGTGGGTTATAGCACATGGTGTTTTCTTGTGGCAGAAGGGGAAGGGTGGGGCTAAATTTTAGCAAAAAGTTCTTTAAAAAGGCCCAGATAAACATACACTTCTATCTACTTTTTATTGTGAAAATTTTCAAATGTACAGAAAAGTTGCAAGAATAAAATTAATACAATGAGCATCCATATGTCTTTTACCTAGACTCACCAATTATTAACTGATTGTCACATTTGCTTTATCACTTTCTCTCTGTACATATGTATTATTTTTTCACTTTTAAAATCATCATTATATTGTGCTTAATAATTTATGAGGAAGTAGTAGATTGTATGACCTAAATAATGTCATCCATAAATGCTTCAGTACATAACTTATATTAACAAGGACATTCCCTTATACAACTGTAATACAGTTATCAAACTCAGGAAATTTAACACCGATACAATGTGATTATTATTAATTTTTAAAATTTTTTAATTTTTATTTTACTTTAAGTTCTGGGATACATGTGCAGAACGTGCAGGTTTGTTACATAGGGATACATATGCCATGCCGGTTTGCAGCACCCATCAACCCATCATCTAGGTTTTAAGCCCCCCATGCATTAAGTATTTGTCCTAATGCTCTCCCATCCCTTGCCCCCCATCCCCCAACAGGCCCTGGTGTGTGATGTTCCCCTCCATGTGTCCATGTGTTCTCATTGTTCAACTGTCACTTATGAGTGAGAATATGCGGTGATTGGTTTTCTGTTCCTGTGTTAGTTTGCTGGGGATGATGGCTTCTAGCTTCATCCATGTCCCTGCAAAGGACATGAACTCATTCTTTTTTATGCCTGCATTTATTATTTAATAAATATTTCATCTTAAAAATTTTTCTAATTATTCCAATAATGGCCTTTATAATCACTCACTTTTTTTTCTGATCAAGGATCCAATTCAAAATCACACATGGCACTTTGCTTCCCTTAATTTAGAACTGCTTCTCATCCCTTCCTTGACTTTTGTGACTTTGACATGCTTATACTAAGGAATGAATGGTTTATGGGGCTACTTTCCTAGGAATATGTGCATATTTTAAAAAGCCACAGGAATAGGGCAATGTATAATTCAAATAAATGAAATTTTAATCTATAACAAATTAGCCTCTTTTGAAATACAACAGAGAAACCTACAAGATCTTAGTATATTTTAAGAAGAGTATCTAGGTGAGAAGGGCTTGTTCTATGTGTGCCTTTAACTCTTTCTCTCTTGACTTAATGTTCATCTTGAGATTTCCTTATGTTGATCCCAGGAGAGTTCTGCTTCTCCTTTACAGTCCTGACTCAAGGAAGTGTATGGAGATAATACTTACTTTACTGGGTCTTTGGGAGGCTGTTAGATAACGCATGTAAAGCAGCTAGCAGTGTTTGACCCAGAGTAAGTAGGTGTTCAATAAACAGTGGGCTTTAGTGATATCATTCCCTTAATTTAACTTAGCTCAGTTTAGCTGAAAAGCTGGCGTTTTCATGTGGCAGAAATCACAAAAGGCAAAAAGAGTTAAAATTATAAAATGTAAGTTTCTAATTCTGGTTCCAAATGGCCATTGCAATCTCTTGAGCACATTACTTGCCTTCCTACTCTCTAAGCTCCTGGCCTCCGCGTGTTGGGATTCCTATTATTTCCTTACTACATGGATTTGGTTTCCTGGGTAACTAATTCTTTTTCCAACCAAATCCAAAAGTCAACATTGCAACAATCTCACCACCTAATAATGACAATAAGAGGAACTCATATACTCATATATCTATAGGACTTTACATTTACATATTTTCCTTTACACATGTCCTCTAATTTAATCGATTCAAGAGCCTGAGGGGTAGCTATTGTTATTATACCTCTCACACAGTTAGGTAAACTGAAGTGCAGAAAGGTAGTACAATTGCTCAAGTTCACAAGCTTAATAAATAGCAGACCTGGGACTCAGCCTCAGGCTTTTTCTACTACATCACGAGGTACAGGTGCCAACTCCTCTGCAAAACCCCCTTCTGTTTTAATTTTTGGAAGGAAGGGCACATTTTTTCCACATCTGGTTAGTTGAATTCAGAACCATGATAGTTGACACACACTCCACACTCCTATGTTACCACTGAATCAGCCCAAACCTTCCAAGTGTAGGTTAACATCTGGAAAATTCTGTCTTAAATGTCTACCTCAGTTTATAATGCTTGAGCCAAATAATAGACACAAAAGTCAGGAGGAGTCATTATAGCACAATGAAACTTTGTAGGGGAGAATATTTGAGCAGGAGAACCTCTTTGTTTTCCTGCAGCAGGTTGGTTGGCCAACTTGACAGCAAATCCCATGCACCTTCTTTCTCACTATCTTCCAGCACAGAGACTGGAAAAAAAAGATACTGTCTCTAGCCTCCACATCAATGGCCATCAGATATAGTTCTGGATAATGTGACATAAGCACATAAGTTTGCAGGGAGGCTTCTGGGAAGGTTTGGAATCTCTCCAGCAGCCTCTAAGGATAACAGAGCAGAAAGCTAGGAGGAGCCTGCATACCTACTGACTTCACTGAGTTGCTGCACTAGCCCTTGACTGACCGCCTACCTTTGCATTTGTTACTGTGGGAGAAGAACAAAAGTGGATTTGCTTCAGCAACTGTTTGATGTCTTTTTACCTGCAGCCCAAAGCATCACTAACTGATACAAACTACTTATTGTGCATAGAGACAAATCACTTATTGTGCATATGGCAGCTGTAGTGATGGGGACTCTCTGCAGTTTTATGAGGGGCTAGGAGATGTGTTTTTGCTTCTTTCTCTGCTCTTCCTTTACATTTCATATGTCTTCACATGAGCTGCTCAGGCACATGAGATCTAGCAGGGCATGACCAAGAGCTGCACATAGGACATAGCACCTACCGCTCAGGAAATTCCACCAAAGGAGACTAAATGGGAAGCAGAATCTTAGGGCTCCTCCTAGAAGCCCTAGTGTAACCACAGTGACTCATGTTTGTGCATAAGATATTTTAATATATTTATGAGTGTCTCATTTGTGGCTCGTGACTGCTCTAGGAGAAAAGAAATGTGATCTCCTATTTTACAGGTCAAGAAACTTAAATCCAGAGATGTTAGATGATTTTATTAGGCGACACAGCAAAGCAGGACTTTGCTGCGGGTGTATCTAACTCTAGAGCGGTTGCCTTTCTCATTTCGATGAGCTGGTGGTGGGTAGAGGGAAGCTTCTGTCCCCCAATAGACCACTTGCTACCTGCAGAATGGGTTGCTAAACCTTTTTATGCAAAGGAAAAATTAAGCCCCATGTGTGAAAAGGGTATATTTGCATCAAAGTGGAGTAACTGCGTGTAATTTGAGGTGTACCGAGCAAGAATCATCATCTAAACATAAATAAAATAAAATAAAATAAAATCTTCCTCCATCTAGGAGCATAATACCTGAAATTTCACAACAAACGGAACAATTCATTTGAGTTAAATATTGTTTTCACACCATTACCCATCTTTAAAATACCACAGAGGGAAATACTATAGTGCCAAATCATTAACAATGATTCTCTCCCTTCTACCAAAAGTTGTTACCAGGGCGGCCTAAACATCACTGAATAAAAGCGTCAGTAAATCTTCAGTTTTGCCTAGCATTTACAATGTATTGGTTAAAAAGTCAGGTTTAGGTAATTGAGTTCTGAGTCCCTCATTACTGTATCTATGACATTGGCCATGTTTTAAAAACTTCACTTGTCTGAAAAATGGAGAATAATATTACCTCTTTCCATAGAGTTGTTAAGAGCGTTACCTAAAAAAATGTTTTACAAGTATTTGAAAAGTAGCTGGCAAAAGGTAAATGCTCAGTATAAGTATTAGATGTAACTTTCTATAAACATCAAGTCTGGTACCTACAGGACTTGACATATCCCCATGATGACCTAGACTTTCCCCCTGGTAAAGGCAAGCATACTGAGTGGAGAGCAGGTGGCCTGGCTTCCCCTAAGCTGCTGGGAAGGCACAATACTGGCTCTGTGCGGGACAGAGTATCCGATCCACAGGCTTCCTTATGTAACAATGCGAATGCAAAAATGAGGATGAGTCTGACACATTCCCTGATATTAGTAGGAAAATCAGTAGATCGTCTTTTGGCATTGAGTCTTTTTACTGCCGTATCTTTCCTCCACCAAGCCTCAAAAAACGACTCTCTTTTATGACATTTTTTTGACCTTTCTCTTTCAACATTTCTTTTTTTGAATTACCTTTTTGTAATGCTTTCAACCACTGACTTCGGCTCTCTTCATTTGATGCATAGACATAGAGAAGCCCATCTTTATAGACAATCTGGAAAGGAAAATATTTGGTGTGTTTATATATAATTGCACTTAGTTCACTTTGGTGCACCTGCAAATTATTTGTCATCCAAAAGAAACCTTGAGTTTGCTTATATAGTATACATCAGCTCTGGAATTAGATGGAAAAAAAATCTGCTTAAAAAAATCCTCCAGCTATCAGTTTGTTTTATCCCAGACACTCCTATACTTTGGAAAATTACAGCGATGATGCACCCAATAGTAGTAGTGAACACTGAGTTCTCATCACGGATGCCCCGGACTATGGACATTAATATGTTAGACATTACACGTGTCTTAGGATTGTTCTGGTCCATTTGCCTACCCAGTGCATGATTTCCTTACAGCCCACTGGAAAATGTTTAACTGCTCTATCTTTAAAAATACCTTCAAGGATGGAATGTTCTTTACTATGTCATCTCTGCCAATATGCATATATTCTGATCATTATACAGTTCACACTTACTTTGAGTAAAAATATGTCTCCCTGTTACTTCCATCTGTTTAATCATGTGGCACCCCAGGAATCCCCAGAATATATTTCTATTTCTTAAGACAAATGTTTGAACATTTGAAGGTTACAATATCTTCTCCAGATCTTTCTCTAGTTTATTCAACTCTGGTTGGTAAATATACACATTTGTTAAACACTTACTAGTTGCTGGGCTCTTTCCTAGCTACTTCAATATTTTAATCTTATTTCAACTCTATGAGAAATGGAAGTTGAGTATGTGTTTATGGTTGCACAAGTATAAGTGGTGGGACTAGGAACTCTGTGGGGGCTCCAAAGCCTGTGATCTTTTGAGCACCCTGTGCATCTGTGAGGTGAGTTTGCAGCATCTTCCATGAGCATGACTTCCCCTGGTTTCCCCCCATTGGGTAATTTTTTCGTGAAAAAAATGCTTATATAGAGATGAGTTCTCACTATGTTGCCCAGGCTGGTCTTGAACTCCCAGCCTCAAGTGATCCTCCCTCTTTGGCCTCCCAAAGTGCTGGGATTACAGTCATGAGCCACTGTGCCTGGCCTGGTAATATTTTTTCCAAATGGGAAGTATGGGTTGTTAATCAACTGGATTATTGTATTTCATTTTTGGCCACAGGTTCCTAATACTAGCACAGGGTAGTCAGGCCATCTGAAAGACAATCCATCTACCTTTAGATCAGAAATGTAACTTTTTATGATATAAGAAAAGTTGGGCATGACTTAGATTAGGCCACTTCCAAAAGGTACTGTCAGCATACACTCCATACCATGCCATTGTTTAAAATACTTCAGGATAAAATGAAAACTCCTTAGCATGGTCACCTCTCCAGGCTCATCTCTTTCACTGTCGCATGGGCTTTTCTATTCATAGGGACTACTTAGTGCTCTCTAAACATATCATACTATTTCATCAGTGCCTTGACACCTTGACACCTGCTGCTTCTTTTGTCCCACTGTCCTTCTCATATTTGCTGGGCTAAATTTTACTTGTCCTTCCCAACTTGAGTGTCACCTCCAATAGAATATCTCTCTAGCCTCTTGGAGCGAGGAATGAAGCTTCCACATCCTGGGACTCCACGGATGCGTTCTGCTGACCTCCACCTGAACACGCACCCTCACTGCTTTGTAATGGTCTGTGTATTAGTTTATTTTGCCACTTCCCTGTCAGTGCCTTGGGGTAGGAGCAGTGTTTCGTTCCCCATAGTATGCCTACTACTGTGTACCACATCAGAGATACTCAGCAATGTGTGTTAAAAGAGATCATCAGACCTGAGGCAGGTCAGGTCACTGCGACTTACACTCCTATCTTGCTTCCCTTCCCTCCAGAGAAGGCAGATTGTGGACAGAATTTTAGCAAAATGCCCAACTCCCATGTGGGAATATTCCAAGCCTTGTTATTGTCTGAATAGATTATTTTGAAATATCCTTATTTTCCCTGGATATATTGAGTTTACAATAGAAAAATTAAAGGAAGAACTATCCACCCAATGTAATGTTGTTCTTCCCTTTACCTGAAATGGGTACTGTCTCTCCACAGGCGTCTGCTCCTCGAGATTTACTTTCTCCACACATCTGATTTTCTTAATTTCGATGGATCCTTTTCTGCTGCCCCTTTTCTGAATTAAAAAACAAAATGTAAGATACCTCATGCAATACATCATGGTGCACAAGGAAAAGCATAAAGCTCAAGTCATGCTTGAGAGGGAGATTGGGGTAGGGGGTGGGCAATGGAGAGTCACTTCCCATTATCCCGTAATAGTCAAAATCCAATGACAACAGAATCTATTCCTTGAGTCTGGACACAAACACATACATTCCAGTGGTTAATAATCTTGTTTGATTATCTTGAAATGTGTTTCAAATCACCTACCATGTGGTTAATATACTCAGGAAAATCAAGATTTAACTTCTGCAAAGCATCTTCATTTTGGTTCAACCTTATGACAGTATTTCAGTATTTTTACTATAGTAGAATTCTCAACTGTCCAGGAATAGTCTTATTTCTAGCATTGTTTTAAGGCACTATTGCCATTTAAGGCTGGGTAATTATTTGTTGTGAGGACTGTCCTGTGCACTGCAGGATGGTTAGCTGCATTCTTGGCCTCTACTCGCTAGATGCCTTTAACACTTACTGTTCCTATCCCCCAGCTGGAACAACCCAAAATATCTCCAGTCTTTTCCCAGTGTCACCTGGGGAGCAAAAATGCCCTCAGTTGAGAACCACTGTTCTAAAGTTATAATTTGCCTTAGTAAAGTTAACTAATGTTTTAAAATCCTTTATCTTGAATTCATTATACTTTCATTAAGAAAAGGTCATGTGATAAGTGGATAGAAGTGGATCTTCACTGTGTACGCTAAGAAACCTGATATTCTTTCGTTATGATCAAGTACGTTGTGGAGACTTAGGAAAAGTAATAAATAGTATAAAAACAATGGAACACATGATGTCTCACCATTTTGTCATATTCATAGTAGGAAAGGTTTGTTTTGGTCAAAACAAAAAGCCGTTCTTTGTAATTATTTGGTGACATTTTCTTCTTTTGCTGTGACCTTTTGAGAAGAAGTTCTTCTAGAATAGATTTTGTATCCATATTATCATCCTAAACAAAATAAATAATTAAAATGAGTATTTGCAGCATCTAGGTAAGTTCTCTTTAACCTTCATATCTTTTCCTCAACTATTTCCTATTAAGGGATAATATAAATGCTAATTTTTAAAAAATGAGACTGACTTAGGATTATAGAATAAATTACACAATAGCTACAGTTTTTCTGCTGCCTTTGCTTCGGATTTTATAAATATGCTGATTTTTAAAAAACACTTTATATATTTGACTCCTCCCACTGTGGATAATAAATTCATCATCTTTGCCTCATTCTCCAGACCACCTTATCAAAATGCTCCTTACTCTTTAAACATTCTATACGTGTTGGTTGAATTGAATTGGATATAATAAAACTTTAAAAAATTTAACTCCAGACAGCTCACAATTTATGAAGTAATGGCCAGTAATTTGACCAAATTACCCAAACCACTATGAGACACTGACATTATTGTAAATAACACCTGCAGCCCCTGATCATGACCAGATATTTAACATAAATTACACAGGTATAATTTTCAATATCTATGAGAATTTAAAATCAAAGTGAATGCCTAAGATAAGATAAAATGAGGAAAATGTATGAGGGCGCAATAACAGATGCTATCAAAAGAGATTTAAAAGAACTGAAAAAAATGAGTACATTTACAAAGTAAAAAGACCCTTCCTTTTTATTCCAAAATTATGTAAAACATTAAAACTTAAGCTATTTCTGAAAAATAAATGCATTCATTTTCTACTTCTACTAAGACAGTTACTTCATCCCTCAGTCTCATATCAGGTCTGATCATGAAAAGTAGCAATGTTGAGCAGTAGACCAGAGAGACAAACTTCCTTATGTTCTTCTTTGCTTTGCGAAATTGCATCGTTATTTGAATTCACATGCCCAATAGTTAAGATCTTTCTTTACTGATAATCTGAAGGCTTTACTCACCTTAGACTCGCTAGAGCCAAAGTATACGTGTGGTCCTTACCTTTAACTCTCAAGCTCTAAGCAGAAAGTTACTGCTTTGAGGCACCATCACTCATATTCCCTCTGGCTATGCCAGGGTCATGCATTCAAAAGAAGATATTTGCATTCCACTTATCAGTCTTGATCAGGAAGCACCCACACAGGCATTGCTCTGTCTGCATGGAGGCGGGTGCCAAGTGAACCCATCCAATCACTAGAGGGCACTTCTCACTGGCCTGGGAGTATGATGGACCCACTATGGCGAAGAGTGAAATGAAAGGGAGACTAAGAAATACAGCCTGGCATTGAATAAACCATGGTTGACTCCAGCCTGCTTTCCTCCTAACATAGACCACACAACTCTCAAAGTGGAATTAAGAAAACCAGCTTTTATTATTTACTACATAGAACAAAAGATTATTTATTAATTCCTAAACTGTCCTCCAAGGGCATTATTTGATTTTTAGACAGAAGTAGTGGAAACCTTATCCATTCAATATAATAAAGTCTTGGTTACTTTTTGCTTGGGATATTGTTTTAGCTATTTAAAAAGGATAATTCTTTCACAAAAGTAGAATGGGTTTCTTCTGAGTACAATGGGTGCTATTTGCAATGGTCACTGGTTTCTTTGTCCAGTGATCAAAGACAGGGCAGAGATCAGGGTATAGTAGAGCCTATGGAGGTAGGTAGCATGCCTTCCTTTTATCTCTGCTTCCATTGTGAACTCTACATATCCACCTGCCCCGGTAAGTTTATTTTCTACACCCAAAGTCTGTGGCCAGAAGAGAATTTGTTCGGAGACTTATAGAAACCATGAGGGTCTACTTTTTTTGAGTGAAAGCCTCCTTTGGGGAGGCAATATCACACTGCATATAGTCGTAGGGTACTTTTGCCTTTTATATTTCTATATTTTACTAATGAGGCAGAAGGAGAAAGCTGTGAAAACTCTTGCCAATTTTTTATATCCACAGCTGAAATATCATTCCTCAAAGCAGAGTGCTAATTAAATGGATCTGATTAGTTGAATAGAAAATTTACTTTTTAATTTTTTTAGATGCTGAATCAATTTGTGACATTAACAACACTGTTTTAAAAATGTAAAAATCCCAATGTCCAAGTCTTTCCCAGTACTACGTGCTGATATACATATTTTTCTGTCTATAGAACTTTCACACCTAGGCAGGGCACAATGTCTCATGCCTGTAATCCCAGCACATTGCACATTAGGAGGCTGAGGAGGGAGGATTGCTTGAGGTCAGGAGTTTGAGACCAGCCTGGGAAACATAGTGAGACCCTGTCCCTAGAAAATGTTTCTAATAAATTAGCAGACATGGTGGCATGCACCTGTAGTCCCAGCTACTAGGGAGGTTGAGGTGGGAGGACCACGCCAGTGCACTCCAGCCTGGGCGACAGAGTGAGACCATGTCTCCTAAAAAAAAAAAAAAAGAAAGAAAGAAAGAAAAAGAAAAAGAAAAGAAAAAGAAAACTTTTACGTGCATGACACTAAAGGTGAGAATTTTTGGAATTTTATATAAAAAATTAATAAGATGAGTCATAGAGACCACTGACAAATTCACAAAGTTGCCTCTATATAGTGAAAGGAAGAACATTGAGTAAAAAGGAAGGTATTGAGCCCTCAAGCACCTTCTCCAGTAAACCTCCAGGGGTTTACAAGCGTTGTTACATCTGATGAAATATAACTTGTGAAATTTCAACATAATTATTCATTTCAAAATCCTGCGCTTTATACATTTTTTTGCTTTCACTTTAAGATTCATATGCAATATATGTTTATTCTATAAAGCCAAGAGCTACAGACAGGGAAAAGAAAAACACAGCACATCTCTAGATGTTTTTCTTTTCAAATATTTATGTGCATATGCTTATTTTCTCAAAGATGGGTTCACATACTGTGCACTTGAGTCTGTAATATGTTGTTCTCGTGTAACAAACACCTGAAGCTACAGATTTTTGAGGTACCCATCCAAGAGGAACAGTCCTTCAAAGCTCCACTCCCTAAGCTGGGCTACTGAGGCTTCCTAACAATCTTGAAGGACCCCGTCTTGATGACTCAAGCTTTTTTTCATTTCCGGATCAGTTTCTTCTAAGATAAACTATGTGGTTTCTGCTTAGGCTTGGACTTGCCTTTCTCCTTCTATTTATTTCTGTCCCTTCCTTATACTTCTCCTTTCTCCTCTACATGGCCTAAATTCTAATTTGAAAACATTTCTATGGTCTCTCTTGATATAGAAGGATAGTTGGATAGTTGCTGATGATTAATTTTTAGAAATGCAATATCTTCCCCCCTCGTATTTTGACAATAAATAAACAGGGCTCACTGTTAAGTCAAATGCCTGTCCAACAACTAGCAAACCCTGCTCTTCTTATGCTTATTTAAGGAAAATTCAGTTGGGAAGGTGAAACAAAAAACCTTTTATAGTAAAATGAGATCCTAAACCCAGTCAGCATTAAAAAGAAATCTATTTCCATAGAGGAGCTAGTGGGATTTGGGTGGACTCTCATATTACCACCCACATAGAATAAATAGACCTATCAATTTGCTTACCAAATAGCCCAGGCTGCCTATTTTCATAAACGGATGAAACTAGGAAGTGATTACGGCACAGAGGAGACACAAAAACCTGGCAGAAATCAATATAGTATTTCCTATGAGGAAGCCAGCAGCCATTAGATAACCTCTTACATACATAAAAGGTGTGTGTTAAATTAACATGACTTGTAATCACTATAGTTTTTTAGGATTTATAAGGAAACGATGTCATGAGAGTAAGAAGTTCAAGTCGGCAGTTCTATTTGACACGCTTGATTTTGAACGCACAGTGTGTCCAACATTGAACGACTGGTTCCAGAAATAAAGATCAGCTGTCCGTGGCCCTGAGTGATGATGAACAAGTTTGAGAGATAGGCTGCATAACTAATTAATATGCAAGATTGCTGTGGGGTGGCAAACTTGGAAGGCATGGAGGAGGTTACAGAATTGTCATTTGTAAACCGTGTCACCCTGGCCAAACTCCTCCCTTGCACTAACCTTCAGTTTTCTGATCTGTAAAATGAGATAGGTAATGACTCTCTTACTTTACGGGAGTTAAATGAGAAACCTTGTGGGAAAGTATTTGGCACATTGTGGGTACCAACTATGTTTTAAAAAAGAAAAGATGGGGAAAAAAATGTAGGTGCTAGAGTAGAGTCCATTCACTTTGCTATGAAAGGTCCAAGGAAGACAAAGCTGTTTTTTTTTTCTTAAGATAACCAAGTAAGGTATTTTAGAAGGGAGCACATTGAAATTAGACTTTGAAGGATGAGAGTGATTTTGTGATAATGATCCTAGCCACTGCTTAAGGAGGGCTCACTATGTGCCAGGCTGTTTAGAATTTACTGGTCACAACTCCTCCATGGGGTAGGTCATGACACCTCCACCTTATGGGGTAGGCCAGAACACCCACACCCTATGGGATATTTTGGGATACTCCCAGCCCATGGGGTAGGTTGTGACAGAGTCACCTTTTAGAGTAAGTTGTAACATCATTCCCTGCTTATAGCTTACGGAGCTGCAATAGATAAATAAATTGCCCAGCTCACACTGCTAGTGGGTGGAGCTGGATTTGAATCCTGGCAGTCTAACTCCACAGCCCATATTCGTGACCATGATTCTAATGCTAGAGAAGGACATGCCTGCTGTGCGACCCTCCTAAACCAGAGACTGCTCTAACCTAAATAAAGGAAGGCGGTCATAGGATGTCAAACCTTATAGGAAACTTAGAAGTCATTTTACAGATGTAACACTGAGCCCCAGCAGCCTAAGTGACTTAGCCAGTACCATTAACAAGTGCTCTAAGAGGCATGGCCCTGGGAGCCAGCTTCAGGTGTCATACCTGTACAACGTCCACTCCACCGATGGCAGTAAACAGAGTAGGAGATATCTATGTGTTCAGCCAAACATACTACAGCTTTGCTAAGGGACATAGTTTGGTGAAACTACCCATGAATTTGAGTCTTAACAGACCCGTGCAAGAGACATTTTATTGGATATATCAGAACGATGTTACCTATAATCTTTCAATAGGAATCTCCTGCTGAAAGGCAGTGTTAAATAACAAAATTTGAAACCACATTTTGAAAATAGGTAAGAACATACAACCTCAAAAGTTGGAATAAATTCTCAGTGGTACAGAAGGGGAGCAGGAGACAGGATGCCAAGGGAGATAGGGTTATCTAGTTAAATGTCCATTGGATAGTTCCCTCAACCAGGAAGTGTATTCCCTCACTGGCTCAGGGTGGTGCCTTTAAAGATTTATCCTTTAAAATTCAGAGATAAGGATAGCAATTCCTTACCCTTTGACTTGGTTTAGTTATCCTCTCTTACTTTACATGCCATGTAGCTAAAGATTTTGGGAGGTGTCAAGATGTTAAAATAATACATGTGGTGGGAAGGCAGTAGAGCAGGAAGGGTGGGAAAGAAAGGGAAGACGCTCCAAGTGGGGCAGGATCTGGAAGGGAAACTGGAGGGCCCTGTGACAAACTTGATCTTCAAATATTTGCCCAAATGCCAGGCCTGCTTATCTTCCTGCTAAATAACTGAACAAAATGTGATGGTAAGTTTAAACAAGAACAAAATGTTTGACTGATAATCAAGTAAAGTGGTTCCAAAAGTCTTATGATGCTGGCCAAAGACAAATACTGGCTTCACAGAACCTGACAGATCCTTATTTCCCATGATGTTATTCAGGAGAGGGAAAGTTAAAGTTGATCTTGGCATGATATGGACAGAAATCTTTTAACATTGACAGTCAAATTCTCAGCATCTTGGAGCATCACACCTTAATTGATCCAAAATGAGTGTATAAAAACCAGACACTTTGGGAAGATCATTTTCTCACAAAGAAGGCAAGAATCTTAATGCTAGTCCTTTTGGAGCTAAGTTTTGCTTTAGGTGTGAGATTAATCTTCAGTGTCCCATAGAGCTTTTCTAAGTCTTTTCCTCTTTTCACTACCCTCTTTCTTTCTGCTCCCTCTCCTCTGCCTAGGGCACTCTCTCTGGGCACCTTCCTTAGGAGAAAAGCAAAAAGCAATAAATCCATGAGCTAGCATCTCATGCTGAATTAAACATGTTACACTGCTTATGTGATGCAGGTTGGCGTGAGTGAAAGCAGCGAGCTGGGTTCGAATCCCTGCTCTGTCTCTGTGCAACCTGTCATGTTACTTAACCCAGCTAAACCTCAGCTTCCCCATCTGTAAAGGCAGTGAAACAATAACCACTTCGAAAGGTTATGAGTAGTCGAGAAGATGGCAGCCTAATGCCCAACACCCTAGTAGGTGTCCTAAAAACTTATGTCCCTTCTCATTGCTCCATAGGCAAAGTTTTAAAAAAAGACCATAGCAAAGTTAAAAAACTAAAGACAATGAAATGATAATGATCCTTAATGATAAAATTTTACTTCCCATCCCTCTGTCCCCAGCTCCTGTGGATAGGAGATAATGGGAGGCAGGAAGACCTCCTCATGTATTGTCATGTCAACACCAGTCCATAGCAGGTTTGTAGCAGACTTTCCAGCTTGAGACGAGTTACCATAAAATGAGGTTGAACCAGCCCCTTATTGACTGTGTATCTGTGCCACATATGTCCAACAAATAAATACTTGGATGTGACTCAAAGTGTGGTCCGTGCACTTGCATCATCCGGGCGTTCATTAGACATGCAGACTCTCATTTCCCACCTGAGACCTCGCACAGCCAAATCTTCATTTTAGCAAGATCCCCAGGCGATCCATGTGCACAGGAAAGTTTGAGAAGCACTTATATGGACCACAAAGTTATACTCCTTTACAAATCCAATGAAATCATTGTGGCCCACAAAATCTTTTAAAATTATATGGATGTGAGTACAACTGTATGGTTTACCTCCCTCCCATCTGTCTATCTCCATCTAAAATACATAAAGCACTTGATTTAGAGAGACCTCAGGAACCTAAGAGCAAATATTTGTAGCTAAAGTAACATCATAAAAACACAGGTAAAGAAGGTACAAGGAACACTTCTATGTCTCTTTGTAAGCAGTTATGAGGCCAATATGAAAAGCTGTGGAAAGGCAATACCTAAAGAAGAGGATGGAGAAAATTAGCAGAGAATACAGCACAAAGTTAGATACAACTGGTGGTGATATGTACACAACCTGATAGCTTCCCTAACTGAGATTTTGAGCAAGGAGTGAATTTTTACAGTGAAATTATAGCAGTTTCAGCCGTTGGCCTCCAAATTACCTGGTCCCATCTAAAGTCCCAGAGGAAGCCCTAGTAATTTCATATTCAAAATGTTGTACTATTTTTCTTAAAGTGAGCTTCCCAAAGTTTGTAACTTCAGGCCCCACAACACCGGGAACCAAACCTATTTTCCCCATAGTATACGACACTGAGTAGCCACCTGCCGCTTAAACGCACCATCTCGGCTTGTTCCGTGCTTGCCTGGGTCCGCCGTGGTGGTTGGTCTGCTCTTGCAGGAACACAGCTCCAGCTGTCCTGTTTCCAGAAGCAAATTGTTTCACATTTTCCTGGCTGCCGGGTCAGAAATGGCTACATTACTCAGTGCCCCCAACACATTTATTGTCCTACAGAGCCTTACACAATCCCACAGGAAACCACGCTCAACACTTAGCCAACACTTGTTGATCTGATTGAACGCAACAAAAACGGAGACAAAAGCATACTTCATAAAGGTTAAAATTTTGATAACTATAGCTCCCGCTTTTCCCAGGCAGCTCTCGGGTACATGTGATAACCCTGCCTTTGTTTGTAGAGCTCTGTGCTGGAAAGGACAAGAAAATATCTCGGCAAAACCCGACTGCTGACGCTGACTTCTCTCACACGAGCCAGGAAACCATTAGGTAATGCCAAAGCGCACAGAGAATATGCAATGAAAACTTCAACTCAACATTTGGACAAAGGAAGGCCAGAGAATACGTAAGAACAGTTCATATGATGGAAAAGGAGCTTATTTATATATTTTAAATTATTAAGACATCCAGAAATGGAAAATAGATTGTTTTTTCTAAGGTATGGTACACCCTGATCGCAATGAAAAAGTGTGTCACTTGACATCATTATGACAGACTCACAACTTTTGGCTTCCCCCATTCCACCATTTTCTCTGGTGCATACTGACTGGCCTTTTGTAATAAATCTAAGGGCATATTTTATGTCCTGCTATGGATAGCCAAGAGAAGTAATCATCCTTTTGCCATGCATTGACACACTGTGTTTACTTATAAATTGTTGCTTACTGTAACTTATTTGTAAGTATCTATGATGTGAAGAAGTCTTGGGTTGGCAGAAGAGAGTGAAGCTACTGACTTTCAAAGAGGTATTCTTTTGAGTGTACATGGAATTAGCATCATTTCTATTAATTTGTTCAGTCAGGTCTTATTTGAGAACCTGCCATGTGCTGAGCATTCCGTGAGGGCCTAGAGACACAAGAGCAAACAGAAGAGAAGCAGCCCACATCTTCAAGGGGCTTATGTGTATGTGTGTGGGTGGGGGAGCCACAAGTAATGGTTTAATTACAGTAGAGTGTGGGAAAAATAACTTGCAGAAATATTTTTTAATATTTCAGTTTGGAAACTGGAATTTTGGGAAGGGCAAGGAGTCCTTCACAAGAATTCAAAAGAGTGTAACTTACATTCTAATAGCAAATTAAAGTCACTGATGGATTCCAAATAGCTCTCTATTCTTTAGGAATATAGTAGGTAGTCATTCAAAAAATTAAGCGTGAAGCAGGGCAACAGTAGCATAACAACCTGGCCAAATAAATTAATTCTACACTCTGCTAATTAATTCCCTTTTCCACATGGCGATTGGTATTTACTTCGCAACTTATATATGGTAATATGGCAAAAGTTCGATTCTAGAATAAAAAGTAAACTTAGGGCAGGGGAAGGAGGAGTTGGCGATATGGTTTGGCTGTGTCCTCACCCAAATCTCATCTTGAATTGTAGTTCTCATAATCCCCACATGTTGTGGGAGGGACCTAGTGGGAGGTAATTGAATGATGGGAGTGGGTGTTTTTACCGTGCTGTCCTCATGATAGTGAATAAGTCTCACCAGATCTGATGGTTTTATAAAGGGCAGTTCCCCTGCACACGCACTCTTGCTTGCCACCAGGTAAGACATGCCTTTGTTCCTCTTTCACCTTCCACCATGATTTTGAGGCCTCTCAAGTCATATGGAACTGTGAGTCCATTAAACCTCTTTTTCTTTATAAATTACTCAGTCTTGAGTATTTATTCATAGCAGTATGAAAATGGACTAATACAGTTGGTATAACTGTGGAAACACCTGGGCACAATCTCTTGGGATTTCCATCCCTTCTTGGGGCATAAAACACCCAAGGGCAGCTGGGAGGAGTGGTTTCCTCTAAGGCAAAATGTCACAGATTTATTTACTTATTCTATTCATTCATTTCCTCTGCTACTTCTCCTGACCATTTCTTTGGCTCTATATTTTCCATGAGTTTCGTTACATCCTAACTTTTGGCAATCTGCTATTTCGATAATATGACTTCATTACTCAAATTATACTCTGCATTGTCATCTTTATTCAGAATTTTAGGAATTTTCTCTAAAGCTTGTTCATGCAAGCCTTTAGCAGGCAACAACTAAAGGGACATGGCATGGGATAATTTGACTTCATGATGTGAACAAGCCTGTTTACTTGTGCTTACATTTTTAAAATAAAAAAGAACCTGGTAGAATCCATTGTCAGAGAGAGAGAGAGAGAGAGAGAGAGAGAGAGAGGAAGAAAGAAAATGAGATCATCAGAGTCCTTCTGGCTTGTGGCTGACCTGTATTTTTCTCTCACTTTAAAAAATTCACTTGACTCATGGCTTTAAACATCATCTATATGCTTATGGCAGCCAGGACCTCTTCCCTGAATTCTAGACTCATGTTTGACCGTCAACTTGTCCATCTGTACTTGGGATATCTGATATATATGTCAAAACTTGTCCAAAGCTGACCTCCTGATTCACACCCCCACCCCAAAACTAGTTTTTCCTACAGCCTTCCTCTTCTCAGCTAATAGGAACTCTCCCCTTCCAGTTGCTCTGGCTAAAGAATATGGAGTCATCCTTAACCTTGCACCAAACCTTCAATCCTTCATGAAATAAGGTTAGCGCTATCATCAAATGTACCCTGTTTGGCCACTTTTCAATACCTCTACTGCCACCTACTGGTCTGAGTTGCCACCACCCCCGGGGGAATACTGTACTAGTCGCCAGGCTCTTCTTACACTCTTGCCCCTGCAGTCTATTCTCCACTGAGGGGCCAGAGTGATTCTTCAAATGTAAGTCACATCTTAGCACTTCTCCAGTCTGAACTCTTCACTTGTCCCCCCTGTTCTGGTCCCCTAGGACTGTCTCTAACATCATCACATGATTATTCTACTTCATCTTACCACTCCTAAAACTGGCATCTTTTCTATTCCTCCAATATTCTGAGCAACATCTGCTCCAGGGCCATTGCATTGGCAGTATCCTCTGCTTGGCAAACTGCCCCAGATATCTGACTGGCTCATGTCCTCATTTCCAGGTTCTGCTTCTAGTGGCATCTTCCTAATAGCCCTACGCAGACCACCCTGTTTAATATCACAGCCTCGCCCTCCACCCAGCACTCCAATCTCCCTTCCTCTGCTCTACTTTTTCTTTCTTCTACAGGACTCATCACCTTATAGCATAATACGTAATTTACTTATTTATTACCTTTGTTATTTGTCTCTCCTCACTAAAGAGTAAGACCACAAGGGCTCCAACAGCTTATCTCTGCAGTTTGAACTTTACTCATGGGCATCTCTTTTTTAGGGGCATCACTCCATTACCTCCTGCATGTATTCCTTCTGGTGCTAAAATAATCTGCTTGAAAGTTGGGATCTGATGTGAATTATTCACACTTACTAGAATTGAAGATTAACATGCCACCTCTCCTAAGGGTGCTTGCATATCAAACCTCAGGTTCAGTGCCAGAACGAACTGCCCTGTTTTTTATGAAAGGAAATGGGTGAGTAGGAGGTGGAGGTAGACACAAAAATGTTTGTTGTTTCTTTTTGTTATCACCTATGTCCTGTCCTGTCACCCATGAAAGCTTTACATAGACTGTTGGCATTTTGTCAGTCTTACTCCTATTTTTCTAGTGGAAGGTAAGTATTTGTGGTCTACATGGAGTTGGCGAACTATGAGCTCCATGAGTTTTTGTGAATAAAATTTATTGGAACACAGCCACTATTCCTGCCCCACGGCCTTTGCATTGATGGTACCCTCTACTTGGCAAACTGTCAAGTGTTGTCTCTGTCTGCTTTCAGTCTACAATGGCAGAGTTGAGTAGTTGAGACAGAGATTGTATGCTCACAAAGTCTCAAATACTTACTATCTGGCCCTCACAGAAATAAATCACCAACTCATACTCTGGAAGCATCCTGCCAGCTTTAGAAGTGATCTTGCAACTTGGAATTTAGTTTAACAGCTCAATTCAACAGAGAGTCACTTCATTTACTGTGTACAAGGTGCTAGAGTTGGAAGCAAAGAAAGTAGACAAAGGGGTATAATGTTTTGGAATCCTTCTAGTCCTGATTCCCACGGTGATTCAAATTACATTTTTCCTAAGATTGTGTCATGAAACATTTCAAAATATAGAAAAGTTAAAAAAAAAGTCAAAGCACCAATACACCACCATCTGGATTCTACAATTAACATTTTGCTGTATTTGCTTTGTCATATATCAATCCATTTATCCATCTCTCTATTCATCTACTAGTTCACTTTGTTGTCATTTCTATTATTACTGCTGCTATTGTTATTTTTTGGTGCATTCAAAGAAGTTGCAGACATCAGTACACTTAATCCATAAACACTTCAATGTACATAACATTAACTAGAGGTTGTTAGTTATTCAAATTAGTTTTTAATTTTTACTCCAATACTGTGATCTCGAAAGCAGTCTTCATTCAGCCAGAAGACAGAACTTTACAAAAGTTGAACACTGAGAAACGTTATCAGGGTAATTGAGGTAAGTATCAGGGGAATCATTCACCTAAATTTCTCCAGTTTCCTGGTTCAGAGATGAATTGGCCTTTCAGGCCTGAGACTATTTTGCTTGTGATGGATTCTAAGAAAGTTCTGCGGCTCCAATGAAAGGGTCATAAGCTTTTTTTTTTTTTTTTTCTGAGACACTGCCAAAAACCCAAGGAAAAGATAGAGAAAAACACAATTATGAGTTTCATGCAACAGCTGATCACATGTAGCTTCTGGTTGAGAGCACCGGTCAATGGAACAGACCATGCTGTGCAGAATGCTCTCATGAGGGTGGATATGGGAGTCAGGTGTACTCATCTTTTCTGAATATCTTTGGATGTCTTCAACCAGCTAGTGTATTTATGGCCTTCGTAAACTAGCATTTACAAAATAATCAGTCCTTGACTTGGAGCCAATTGATTTCCTGGGTTCAATGAGTCTGAGTCTTTAATATGGAATATTTCAGAGACATTTGTCGTCTAATGAATAGCAGCTACACTGTCCTACACAAAATCTACAAGAAAGAATTTGTGAGTTGATGGTTCGAAGAAGAAAGGAACAAAAATAATGAAGTGTCTAAGATGTCCATGTACTTTTGTTTTTTTTAATTTTTGAGACGGAGTTTCACTCTTGTTGCCCAGGCTGGAGTGCAGTGGCATGACCTCAGCTCACTGCAACCTCTGCCTCCCGGGTTCAAGCGATTCTCCTGCCTCAGTCTCCTGAGTAGCTAGGATTAGAGGCATGAGCCACC